GAAACCTAGCAAAATGCACAAATGCACTTTCACGTGCATCCGCCCTCTTGTCCATTTTCCATAGCTAAGTGGTAACAGGCTAGCACCTGAGTCTGTAACATATCTCTCCCCCAAGATATATGTGTTTAAGATAACCTTTCTGACAGCCTTCAGATTAAGCCACCGCAATTTAGTCTTTCCTAGCCTAGTTACAGTGGCACGTGAGAACAGCCCATCTTCCTCTACAAACAGTTATATTTCAGTATCCCCACACAGTTTGTCTTGCAATTGTTGACTCAGCTGAATTACTGATTCAGAGAAATGTCTGCTACATAAGGGAAATTCTAAGAGAAATAATTTAATAACAGTATAAAAAGGATTCGTAAGTGCCTAAAACAGCCTCAAATACAGATTATATTGCAAAACTGCCTGTCCTGAGCTGGATCCCTTTTCCCATTTAAGCACACCAGACACAGAAGACTCAGGGCATGAGCTATTTCAGTGTCCCTTTCCAGGCTTCTTATATACCCCAGTGTTCATTTCCAACAAATCACACACACACACACACACACACACACACACACACACACACACACACACACACACACATTTTCTTGTCTGAGACCAATTAATACAGAAGGTAAGACATCTTATGAAAGACTAAAGACTAGACATGCATCTTGGGCATACCTTGATGGAACATACTCATATGTTATTTCATCATGTGTGAGCTTTAAACAACTGCCTGGGTATTATCAGTCAAAGTAATAAACAGTCAAAGTAACAGAACTTCCCTCAAAGAACCAGCTTTATTTATAGTTTGTTACCCATCATACAGCTACCCAAATTAGAAACTATGACAGGGTTACCAATTCAAGCCTTGCTTCAACATAATCAGACAACTGCTCACTGTGCCACTCATATATAACCAACTTGATAGCTCTACAATTTCCATCCTGACCCTTGTTGCTCTTTATCAGAGCCAACTCTATGGCCTCCTCTCAGGTCTTGGTGCACACTGTATATTTCTATAAGTTATCTTTCTAAAACCAAGATCCAACCCTACTCAAGGATTTAATAATCTTCACTCTAAAATTCTTGTACCCACCATGTCCTGGCCGACTCACAAATCTTTGACAATCTCTATCATCTTATCAACCCTGAACACTGTGACTCACATATCCACTCTGCCTAAATGTGTCCCCACATTTATATTCTTAAATGTGTTATAAAAAGCCTGCTGCTTCTCTTCTAGTTCCACAACATGTGATATATAATTCGTATAGCATATACCATAATCTGCTACATATTTGTACATTCCCAATGCACAGATAGAAAGATAGACAGTAGTCATCTTCTACAGTCTGCAACATGCCTTGCACACAGTAAACACTCAGTGTCTGTAAAGTAAATAAATGTCTGTGCAGATTATCATACTTCAGTGCAAACCTAACAAAATCTAATATTTACATTCTTCTAACAAGATAATTCAATAACTGAGATTCATCCTGAAAACCCAGCTAAATCTTTAAACTTGAATTACAGATCTCACATTAAATATACTGTCACCACTATGATATTCTGAGATGTGTGTGCATCATTTTGTTTTTGTCCAAAGATCCCCAATTATAGTCCCTGCCTTACTGTGACTTACCTTAGCTGATAATAGATAAGACACCCATTTCAGAAGGAAATCTGATCCACGCTAAGCATGAAACACAGGCTGAGAAGAACCATACAGGCAGGTCCTTACAGATTTCCCCATACATTCTACTAGCATTAGACACACTAAGGAAGTTTCTATAAAGCCCCGACCAGAAATGATTTAGAGAAATGATGGGGGATGTCCTTCTGTATGTATGTTTCTCTTATTGGCTGATGAATAAAACACTGTTGGTCAATGAGGCAAGAAGATAGGTGGGGTAAGGAGATGAGGACAATTCTAGGAAAGGTAGGCCGGGAGAGAGCCTGCCAGGGTAGACCGCAAAAGGAGTAACAGGTCCGGACCCTTCTCCAGTAAGATAAGACCATGTGGAAATACTCAGATTAACAGAAATGGGTTAATAACTAAGGTAGAGCAAGCCAATAAGAAGCCTAGTCATCGGACAACGATTTATAATTAATATAGCGTCTGTGTGTTCATTTGGGGCAAGGCAACTGTAGAATGTGGACGGAAAGAAAACCGCCAGCAACAGAGGCAAGTTACTGGAAGGAGACCTGAGACGGCCCAAGAGCTCATTTCCTCACACTTCACATTAAGCAGCCGCTTGCTCTTCACCTGTATCCCCCCATAAGTGAGCATTTCTCCGAATTCTGTGACCCATTCAGTCAAATTAACCAACACGGGGGAAGGCATATAGGAAACCCGATTTACAGGCCAGTTAGTCAGAAGCACAGGTACAGTAGCCTGAGACTTGGAGTAAGTGTGAGATGGTATTAGCTTTGAGGACCGAGCCAGAAGACAGGTCTGATACTGCCTTCAGACAGAGAGTTTGAATATGAATTGTCCCCTCTGGAGGCACATGCATTGAAGCACAGTCCCCAGCTTGCGGAATTACTGAGATGTGAGTGGGCCACAGCAGTACTAACGTTATCAAGGGGTTAATGCATTACAGAGGCCACATTAACTGGGCTATGTGGAGGAGGCCTTCATGGAGGAAGTGGGCCAGTAGGGCTCATCACTGAAGGATGCATCTTGCTCCTGGCCTCTTCCAGCCTTGTTGCAAAGTATCTATGTGTGAAGGTGTGTCACTGTAACTGGTTTAATAAACAGCTAGGCAGGAGAGAATGGGCTGGACTTCCGGGCAGAGAGAGAAACTCAGGATGAATCTGGGCACATGAGAGACACCAGCAAGACAGTGACAAAGTCAGATGTGAGGTACTGAGGACAGACAAAGAGCCACATGACAGAATGTAGATTAAAAGTATGGATTAATTAAGTTATGAGAGCTAGCTGGAAACACGTCTAAGCTAAAGGCCAAGCTTTTGTAATTAATACGTTCTGTGTCATTATCTGCAGGCTGGCAGTCCTGATGAGAAACGACTACTTACTACACAGTCTCTCTGCAAGCCTGACTACCATGGGAAAGGCAGCTTTTCTGTACCACACCAGGCTGTCACAAGGCTCCACCAGCTCAGGTTCAGCTGTAAGCTAAAAATCTTTACTCTGTTATTTTTCTCGGGTTATTTGTTGTGCTAATGATAAAAAGTCTATCACGATAATGTAGATCAGAACTCAGCTGGATTAATGAGCACGGAAGAGCTACTGTCTACAACAGTGTTAATTGCTTGCTTACTGGGAGGTGGGAATCCTGACAGCTTTTAGAGTTGAAAAGTAATTAGTCATAAAAATATAGCAGGGAAGGCTCTGAGTCTGCTTCTCCTTCTACATGCACACACTAACAGCATTTATTTATTCAATACATATTTTCATAGCATTTTGGCACCAGGCATTCTGCTAGATAGGAAGAAAAAAAAAAAAACCCCTGTGCTGTCCATGTATTTTATTCCAAAACACCTCCCTATATATTATTGCATTCTTACAACTATCTGATAAGGCAGGCAGGACAATTTTTAATCATCTTTGCTTTACAAATGAGATATCTGAAGGCAAACAGTTTAAGTGACTTAGTGAATTAGAATCAAAGCTATAAAAATGCAAATCTCTACTTAAAAGGCTACACAGGCAACAGCTAGGCAGAGAGCATAGGCAGCACTTCCAGACAGAAAGAGCTCTGGGAAGAATAAAGGGGAAGTTGCCAGCAGGATGCAAAGGAAGCAGGATGTGCAGGAGGAGAGGTAAGTAACGAGCTGCGTGACAACATGTAGATAAGCTTATTTGGGAGCTGGCAGGTGGGACAGAGGATGATTCATTACACACGGCGCACAACGTGGGGTCACCAATATCCAAATAACGCCTGAAAAGCTTAAAAACAGTTTGGAACACAGAGTCAAATGTGACTTCCTGGTGACCACAGTCTCTCAGGTAGGCTCAGAGGCTTACAGAGATGCAGCTACGGGCTGCTGCCTACAGGGTGGAGCCAGATGCCAGGGCCATGTGCCAGGCTGAGCCATGCAGCAGCTGCCACAGCAGTTTAAGATTTGCATCACACAATCAGAGAATGCTGCAGATGCTCAGTAAAGACAGATCCAGACGGGGGGAAAAAAACTCTAAACAGTTACAGTGTGTTTAAAAATGTGAATTGGCTTAATAAATAAGATAAAGTCTTTAAAGAAAGAATAAATTCATAAGAAGTCATGAAAAGATGGAAAATAAATGAAGAGTCTAGCTTTTGTTAACTTTGAACTTTTTGATGGCTGATGAGCAAACTAAAGCTGCTGAGAGACAAGGGATTGTAACAAGGAGTGCTGAGTTAAACCAGCCTAGATACTTTAGGAATGCCTTAACTTTAAAATGGAAGTCAGGAAATGCATTGCTTTGGGGAAGAGGTAATGCTTTTGTTTCCACAGAAAACAAAAGGCTGTAGATTCCTCCAAGGTTGATAGAGATCAGGTTTAATAGGAGAAGATCCTGCCCCCCACCCCAAAAATCCAGGCTACAGACAAAAAGAAATAAACCTAGAAAAACTACAAGATAGGTGATGTATATTTTACCTGCTCAAACATAAAACAAAATCATCTATGGTTGGCTTGTGTACAACATACAGTCCATGCTTCTCTTGATGCATATATACATGTTTTCCTTTGAAAGTTTGTGTGTTTTCAGAACAAGGGAACCAGACACCAATGAAAACGGTGGCCCAGGTGATCCAGCCTATCAGTGTCTCTGTTACAGTTTCCTCAGAGTTCTACATCCAGAATGGCTCCTGGCTGAGACGGTCCAGTCTCACAGACTATCCCAGACAGGATCACAGATAAGTCTTGCACTTTCCTATTGCACAGAGACTGGACAACAAATGTTATGGCTAGCTCTCCCAGGATATTCTCAGGACTAAAACATCAAACTTCAGGAAAATAAAACAGCCAAATCTCCACCCAGCACCCCCAAAGTCAGCACTAACCTGTTGTCCTTGCAAACGGCTACTCGGTCTCCCCCGGGTATCAGCTTCTTCTGTTTAATCACCCCATAGCTTTCTCGGCACACCTTCATTTAACACAGAAAAGGATGTGTTTTCATTTTTGTTAATTAATTTGCCTCTCTAGAACCCAAGTGACTCAGAGAAAACTAGGAGTAAAATGTAATTTAATGACCATGTTTACAGGAAACGGGGCAGAATAAAAATCTGAGTCAGAAAACACCAACACCTCAAAAACATCTTATGTCATGAAGTTGCCAGTAAATGGAATCAATGAGAAAGGGACATGAACTGTAGAAAAACAATAGATTGCACAAGTCAAAAGTAAAGAAGATTAATGTTTTGGTAATTTCCCTAAGTGCACAGGTAAACATAGATTCCACACACAGCACATTACTGAATTCAGATATGATGACTAAAATCACCATGAAGAACAGGCACAGTCACAAACACAGGAATTTGTACCGTGAAGTTGAGGCAGAAAGTCTCTTCAACATCTTCACCCGGGTAATCCAGAAGTTCTTGAAGACTCCTGGAAATCACAGAACAAGAAAAAGAGGCAAATCAAAAATGTTGCAATGGTGTTTATAACCTCAATGATGCCCAGTCTTTGCCAAGAAAACTACAGAAGAAAAGTCTAGAGAACATGAATTCAAAATACAGAAGTCATATACCTAAACCCTAGAGCAGTATGGCAGCAGACTGTACTGACTCCCTTCCCCGCTGATACATATCCTAAACTGATGATGAAATTCATCTAGACTTAAATCTGATGGGCTCCTCCTTAGCACTACTCAGTGTATACATATATACCTAAGAACATGGTACTGTAAGGACTCCATAGGCTGGTTTTACTCATATACATTAGTAAAATAATCCTGCCATAAAAAACAAAAACAGGCCTGCAAAGTCAGTGTGGTGGTGTAAACGAGACGGGCCTCTATGGGTTCATGTGTTTGAATACTCGGTCCACACTTGGTGGTACTGTTTGGGAAGGCTTGGAAGGCATGGACTTGCTGGAGGAAGTATCACCGAGGGGCAAGCTCTGAAATTTCGAAACAATTCTCATTCACAATTTGCTCTCTCTGGTTCCTGGTTGGGGTTAAGTGAGCCCTCTGTTGTTCCTGCTATCTGCTGTCTACTGCTATGCTTCCCTGCCACAATGGACTATTAGCCCTCTGAAACTAAGTTCAAATAAATTCTTCACGGCTTATATCACAACAGAAAAGTCATTAATGCAGTTGCCATGTCCACATAGGAATCTGAAAGGGTGGGTGAGGACCTAATCCCCCAAACCACAATTCCAAATATTGAAATCACCAAATGTCAGAATCCCTAATGTCTAAAATTCCCAAAGTCCAAAATCTCACATACAACTCTAGAAAAACTAATTTAACTTATTCTTTAGGCGAGGGAGGGGTGTGGCTCACCCACTTTGAATGTAACAGTTCCTGGTCCAACACCCATCTCTGAAAATAAAAAAGAACAAAACAACCCCCCCCAAAACAAACTAACAAACAGAAAAGCCTCTTAAAGCTATTTCCACCTTTAAAGGAAGATTCGGAAAACATTACAACACAATACATAACTTACAAAACTACTTCAAAACACAAAGCTGGAAAATAATATACACAAATCACAGCTGTAAAGATACAAGTTAAGATCCATAAAAACAATATTCCCAAATGAATACATCAAAAAGAAAATTATAGAAACAAATAGCATTGCTTGGTAGCTGTGAGCTTCAGTTTTATAAGTGTTTGTCTGAAATGAAAGTGATGAACAGCCAAATCCTTTGAAAATGGTTAAATATTACAGTGTGTCACCACCAGATATATAGTCACCCAAAGAACTAAGATATTGAGAAATGTTATCTTTAATAAATGCAGATGTATAAAAAGGAAATATCTTTTTACTGAGCAAGTTTTAACATTTTTATATACATGCACAAAGCCAGAGGTAGTATAACAGATTCTCAACATGTCAAATTTGCAAGAGTTCCATAAGATTAAAAACAAAACAAAACAAAAACGAAAAACTACTTTGGAAGTCTTCAAGTAATTTATAAGCCCAGTATTGGAAGCTATGGGAAGATGCACTCAAATATGTTCAAACCATGCCCTGTGAGCCGTACCACTTTGTGGGAGCCTGTTGTGACTCCATCTTGTGCCTTGATTCCGTCTTGACAAGGTTAATTCAACCTTGTTTTCATTCCTTCAAGGTCAAACACCAGTATATTTGGCCTAAAGTATAGTTTGCTATATGTCTTCCTTAGATAGCAGGATGTTTGGCTAAGGGTGTATAACTGTTGTACGTTTTGTTCTTTAAGACCTAATAACAGGATGCTTGGCTTAGGACATAGGTATTAGATGTTTTGAGTATTAAGCAATTGTTCTTTGTATCATGGAGAAGATGTCTTGTCCTCCCCTTTGGCATGGGGTGTAAAAAGGCTTTAAAAAATAAACTTGGGACAAATCTAGTATTCACTGGAATGTCCTCCAGACTGTATTCTGCATCTCTGTCTTTTCTTCAGTATCTTAATTTTCTACCTGCCATTTCTCAATCCATACTCCTCCTTTCAAGCGTGGACCAGGCTAGCCAGGCGGGAACTGATAGATGGTGTCGGGTGTTGAGGCTTGAACACAATAATGAAGTGATGGACACCACAATTGTAAGGCGAAAAGTGAGCGCTCAAGAAAAGTGAAGTGTAGGTGCAGTGAGGAACTTGGGAGTGAAATTTTGCAAATGGATTTGTAACTATGAGACAAAAAGATAGCGCACAGCCATTTTCAATTGTCCATTTAAGTTTAACAGTGAAAAGCTGATTAAGGATAACGACGCATCGTGAAAACCTTCAGAAGGGAAGGAGAATGTTTTGTGGACCTTGTGTGTGTGTGTGTGTGTGTGTGTGTCTGTCTGTCTGTCTGTCTGTCTGTCAGTTTTGGAGTTGTTAGTTTTCAGGATTAGTGATTTTTGATTGAGACAGCATGACCAAAAATCTCACAGAATTTTGGGACCTAGTGAGACAGGATTGTGCATTCACCTGAGGATGGTTTGACACTGAGGGGAGCCGAGCAGGGGAATCCTCTCCCTGTTTGCTGCAACCAGCAGAGCAACCCGGCCTTCTAAGTGACGCTTCTCAGGCCGAAGGGGGTACAGAACCTTGACAGGCTGAGCTGCAGGAGGGCCATATAGCCAGTTTGCTGGTGTTGCTCCAACACGCTGACCAGCCTCAGTGCTCCCGGCCCCATGGTCCCCTTGCCTGATAGTATCCCACGAGCCATGGGGGACACCACTTTGTACTGAGCTGCCTCCTGTTGTATTTGCTGGTTCTCTGCCTCCGAGCCCAGTCCTTGCCTAATTTTGCACAGCATGTGAGGGAGCAGAGCCTGGTGACAGATCAGCTCAGTCACCACCTCATCCTGACCTACCAGCATGCGCAGGTCCTGGCCAACAAGGACATCAACACCGTGGCCGAGGACGGAGACCCCTTCACAAAGCTCATTATGGAGACAGATACATGTGGGAGCAGAGTACGAGTCCGCGGAGCTGAGATGGGTCTCTGTGTCGGCACAATTACGTGGGGGAAGCTAATAGCCAAGAGCAATGGCAAAGGAAAGAACTGCGTGTTCATGGCGAGGGTACTGGAGAGCAGCTACCTGGCGCTGCAAAATGTCAGGCTGGTACATGGCCTTTCCCGGCGAGGGCCAGCTCCACAAGGGCTCCAGGGCAACCAGCACCAGCACAAGGTGCACTTCATGGAGCGGCTGCTTCAGGGCCACAGTACAACGGAGCAGAGTCTACACTTTGAGTTCCTAGACTACCTGCGCCTTTCTGCTGGGCCTAATGACCGCTAGAGGCCCGGAGGTTCGGTGCAGACCAGCCGGAGGACGCTGCAGGGATCCACACTAGCATCAGGCACATGGATCACACAAAAAGTAAGGATTGTATCCTGGAGCCACTTTCCCGCCATAAAGTCCAGGTGGCTCCATTGTTTTAGAAGGACCTCCATCTTTATTTGCTGGCATGCTTCCAAATCTCACCATAAAGGACTGAACTTCTGAAAATGCAAGCCACCCCAATTGAATGTTTCCTTTATAAGAGTTGTTGTGGTCATGGTGTCTCTTCACAGCAACAGAAACCCTAACTAAGACAGTATTTATATAAACAACCACATAACTTCATACTTCCCTTCAGAGAATCAAATCCTGCAGTTCTATCAAGATTTATCACAGGGGAGTGGCAAGACGTAATGGGTGAATACTGGAAGAGTCAGGTGTTGGGAAATCTTCACTAGTCCATTTTCCATCAAGTCCTGAGAAATTCCTCATTGACTATGGGCTGCTCAGTAGATGTCAGATTTCATGACTACAAAGAAGAAACCCCAGAAGATCTACTATCTAGAAATATAGGATATTTGGGGCAGTGCCAGCATACAAAAACCATTGCTGTATAAATGGTGTGGTTTCTAGTACATGACATAACAAAGAAGTTATCCTCAAACTCATGATGCTGGAAACTCTCAAAAGGGACACAGGCAATGCAAGTGATTAAGGGGGCAATGATGGAGACAGTTTGCTGGTGGCAGGGACTAACCTGGATCAGATTCATGAAACCAAGCACCTTGAAGTTCTAACTAGGACATCTTTCTTGGCTGAAGCCTTCAATGTAGAGACTGATGTAGGTTGTACAAATCAGTGCACATAGCTGCAGGTTCTTCCAATGATGTCAAACTCAACATATTTAAAAACCATACTTATCTATCAGCACGCACATGCCACAGCATGCATGGGGGGGGGGGGGGTCAATGGTCAACTGTGAGAGTAGCTTCTTCCCTACCAGGGATCAAACTCAACTTGTCAGGTATGCCCACAAGTACCTTTACCTAATGAGCCACCATGTCAGTCACTATAAAAAGACTAATTTTATTTATGTATTGATTTTTTAAAAGTCTATGTGTGTGTCTGTTCAGCAGGTTTTCCTGAGAAGGTCAAAGAGAAGAGATAATCTCTAAGAGAAGATAATCAGATTCCAAGTGTTCCTGATCAAAAAACAGTAAGACGGATTTCAAAAAAAAAACAAAACAGGCCAGGACAGGCACTTAACAACCTTCACTATGACAGAATTGCACTCATCCTCCGTATGAGTGATTGCACCATGGCAGTTTTCACGGCTTTCCTCTTGCGGGTCAAATCATTAACGTGCCGGTCTTTGGAGGAACACATATTACAATGCTACCCTCCAGCCTCCGCCTCCCAAGGTAAAATGAAAGGAATGACAATGCCTTCACACCTGCTCTGCCCTGTGCTTTTCTGCCCCTTCTCAAAGATTAAGCAAAAGTCTTGTGGATGAGAGATAATGTCAAAATGATTTGGCAAGCCAGCAGTGACAGGGGACGCTAGAGAAAACAAAAAGAGCCATGTGAGGTAAAAATTGCTACCATGGAACTTAATCCTGCTACCAGGTAGCCAGGCAAAACCATACCTCAAAGTGCCCACTTCTCAGACAGGTTTGAAAAGCAAAGAAAGAGCAGCCGCACTTGTCACTGTGGCCTCCTCTTTAGTCACCCAAACAAATCAGTACTGCTCGTGTCTCCTCGGCTCCTTTTCATATTCTAAACTTCTTAGTGCTTTCACACCTCCATTCCTATATATGTATGGCAACCCCATTTCTAGAAGGTACCTTAGAAATGTCTCCTTTTACCTTAAGCATTTTTTTTTGGCATTAGGAGCTAACCTAGGCCACACCCCCACTATTTCTAGAGACAGAGTATAGCTTTGAACTGGCTATGATGCGAGGGCTAGTTTAAAGCTCCTGGTTCCCTTGCCTCAGCCTCCTGTGTACTGGGATTATAGGCGTTCATTACTACGGGGCAGCTATGCTTGTTTTGTGGTACTGAGATTGAACTGAGACTCTGAGATGCTAGTGTGGTACCACTTAGCTATACTGCCAGCCCTTGCTCCATCTTAAAACCAGCCCCTTTCCCATAAAAAAGAAGCTACTCCCTCCCTCTCAAGCCAGCTGTATGTAACCGTCTGCTGTCCAAAATTAACACAGAGAAACTCAAGAAAAGGGGGGCTCTTAAGAATTCAATCCCCCCCAAAATGAGAGTAACATAAAAAAACGTGGCTTGACTACTGTGAAAAGCACTCTGACAGTTCCTCAAAAAGCTAAATATGGAATTAGCATATAAATCAGCAATGCTGCTCCTAGGCACACATCAGATTAACAAAAGTTTATGTCTACACAAAAACTTGCATATAAACGCTCTCGAAAACACAATTTCCAAAACAGAAAAGATCCAAGCGTTCATCAACTGAAGAATGGAGAAATGAAATGTGATATATGTGTACAAGGGAGTATTACACAATGGGCTATCATACAATGCTATGGAGGACAACAGGGTGCTGCACAATGGAATGCTGCCTGCCAGTGTGAGAACAAAACACTGATGTACGTTATAACAGGCCAAATCTGGGAACAGACCAAGTGACACAGACCAACTGGAGAATACTGTAAGATTCCATTTTTGAAAAAATATCCAGAGTGGGTAGCCTGGTAGCACACAATTTTAGTCCCAGCACTCAGTAGGCAATGACAGTAAGTTGGAGGACACCTTGGTCTGCACAGTTAGTTCCAGGCCAGCCAGGGCTACATAATGGGATCCTGTTTCAAAAATTTAAAAAACAAACAAACAAACAAAAAAACCTGGAACAGTCAAACTGATGGAGGCAGAAGGCACATTGGCGTTTACCTATGGACAGCAGGGATAAGATAACAAAGTGCCAGGCTGTTTTTGTGATTACAGTGACAGTCACACAAGTTTAAATCCATTCAAGTATATTTTAAGTATTCTTTTCATGGGTCAGTTGTATGGTATATCTATCACTGTATCGATAAACTTTTTGAAAATCTCTATTTCAGCCTAGGCAGAGGGGCGGTTTAGCCAGCCCTGCCAGACACAATTCATTTACTTTTTTGCCTTTTATTTGTTGTCTCTAATCTCTTCTGGGGCAGATCTGCTTTCTTGTCACTGGCAGTTTTAAGTCTACTCTGTTTCTTTAAATCTCCTGTCTGTGACATCTGGGAAACCAGCATAGGACTGTCCCAGTCCCCTGAACATGGGTGTCACTTAGGAGGCCTGGGAAATCTATGGGGCCTCTGGTAGTGGATCAGTATTTATCCCTAGTATACTAATGGACTTTGGAAGCCCATTCCACATAGAGGGATACTCTCTCAGCCTGGACACATGAGGGGAGGGCCTAGGCCCTGCTCCAAATATATGACAGACTTTGAAGATCCCCCATGGAAGGCCTCACCCTCCATGGGGAATAGAAAGGGGATGGGATAAGGGGTTGGTAGGGGGCAGAGAGGAGAAGAGGGAGAGGGAACTGGGAGTGACATGTAAAACAAGCTTGCTTCTAGTTTAAATTTTTTTAAAAGGGACAAAAATCCTACCCCCCTCCAAAAAAATCTCCTGTCTGTTTGCTACAACGTGCAAATCAGAGATTACACTCTGGTTCTCCCTTTTTACTTTTATCCAGTCCTGTTTGATATACCTGCTTGTCTCTGTAAATGTGATTTAAATTTAACTTTATATATATATATAAATGTAACTCTATGCAGCTTAAATTCAACTATGCTAAGTCTCAAATATTTCTAAATTGTTATTTATCTTTAAATGATGGTAAACATTTAAAGGTATAAGGGTCTATTTCAACTTAACGAGATATTTATACCACCCAGTCCTTCCTATAAGCTGTTTACAAAGGTAAAGCTTCTATTACAAAAGGGGATTTTTCTCTACTTCTTTGTCCTTTACAGGCATAAATCTAACCTAATAAGTTAAAACCAGTTACAGTCAGGCTGGAGGGCTCTAGTTAAAACATCCCTCCACAGCCTCTCAGCTTCAATTCAGTTCTCCAGACAGATACCACACTAATCTGTAGCCATACAAATTAATTACAGGGAAAAAGCCTTAAGTATCCACCTATGTGCTTAAGGCAAGTAACTAAAGACAAATTTTGTCTGCTGAGATATACTAAACAGACAGACAGCCCTCAAATGCTCAGAGATCTAGAGAACATAGCATTTAAAATGTTTTATTAAAAAGCTTTTTATAACAGAGAGACAGGCCAGCCGCTGGCCCCACCCCATTTCCTCCAAGAAAACTGATGGGCACTGAAGAAACTCCACCCACAAAAGTGGTAACACTAGTTACTGAGTAATCCTGCCTTTGACCTCAACTGCTGCAAAGGACTCCTCAGACCACGGACAAGAGGAATCGACTTTCTCCACATTGCTTATGCCAACAGTAGGCAAGTCTTCCTATGACTCCTAATCCACAGGTCCCATGCTATCAGCAGAAGGCGGGTCTCCTTAAAACCTTTGCTCACAACAACTAGGGAGGACCTTGGGGGTGGCTGTCCATGAGACCAGCTAACAAGTCTCTCTTATTCTCTAATAATCCAGGTAAATTTTATCCTTCCCAAGAACTCTGATGCTTTTGATGACTGGTAGCTTTGCCAGCTTAAAGCAACAGCCAAAGCTCCAACTGTCACAAAACAGGTTTCAGGAACAGGTATTTTAGTGTTTATCTATGTGAAGACAGGAAAGTGTGAGGTGTATGAAGGTCTGAGAATGGAAAGTCTAAGATGACAGCGTAAGGTGTCAGGATTAAAGTTTATGTAAGAACATAAAAGCTTGAGATGTATAAATCTAAAAATGTTTATAACAAACTAACTTAAAGTATACAAATGCAAGTTACCAGATTTCTCTCTGTCTCACTATGCTACTCTACTGTTCATCTTCTTAACATTAAAGTTCTGATAGGCTACTAACCCAACTCTGACAGGGTACTAAACAACATGCTATACCACTATATGATAACTGCAAGGTCAAAATTAAAGTCTTTTTCATTGTCCTAAAGATATCTGTCAATTGTAAAAATGTTAAAGCATTCAGCCAAGTCACTTATAACATAAATATGCTGCTGATATATCTAATACTTATGTTTTCACAAACTCAAAGGATTCTTGTAAGTTCGAGGGAGCTGAACTGGACCCATCCAAACTGGTCAGATTCACTCCAAATAAATATTATTCAACCTTTCCCTGGTCCCGGGACTCCCTTCCCTCATCTTGGGATTCCCTCAGGAAGCCCTCCCTCATCTTATAATCCTCCTCTCAAGTACCAGGACCATAAGAAAAATTTTTTTCCTAAACTGAACTTTGTACTCTGCTCTGCCAACATCTTGCCAGGTCTAAGAGGTGCCAGAGTTCCATATAGCCTGAATTGCGAGGAAACAATCAGCTACCCCAAGTTATGGCAGCACCCCAGCTTTCTCACGTCCCCCAAAGATGGTCAATTTCCGCCCCCCCCATCAGCAGGAAGTAGTCTTGAGAACTAGATGTACGTATTTCCTAACCTGCCATGCCTAACTCCTCACCTTTATAATAATAAGTAAAGGTGAAAATGTAAAGATTCAGGCATTTTGCTGACCTGCCCCTGTCACCTGGCAGAATGCTCTCAGGCAGTACTCTGGTCAGCCCAGGGTTTCATGAGTACTAGCCTGCATGCAGGTGCAAAGGACCCCTTTAAAAGACAGACCCGCACCTACTTAAGCTCTGTTACCCTCTTCTTTTCTTGATTCGCCTCCATGTCTCTCTCTCCTTTTTCTCTCTCTCCCTTCATCTCTCTGTCTTCTCCCCCTCTTGCTCTCCCCGCCTTTAATAAACTCCATGGTTAATGTAAAAAAAATTCTATTTCAATAATCTTTCCCATTGTTATCTCTGGACTAGGACAAGGCTCAAAGTTTCCTTTTTGGGGAGGGAGGTACAGGATAATGAAACCAGAGATTATTCCTGAAGAGCTATGCACCCTCCCTTTTCTTTTTTTTAGCAGTGTATTTCTTTATTTTATGTGTATGGTTGTTTCTACCTGCATGTTTGCCTGTGTATGCCTGGTGCCTGTGAAAGCCAGAAGAGGGCATTAGATGCCCTTAAACTGGAGTTACAGATGGCTGTGAGCCACTACATGGGTTCTGGGAACCAAACCCAGGTTCTCTGAAAGAGCAATCGATGCTCTTAACCACTGAGCCATCTCTCTAGCCTTAGGCCTCTCTTTTAATGTCTTCCCTTGTCCATACGGTGACACAGCCAACGCTTCATTCAAGCAAGTGCTGCATAATCTACAATGCCTCAACGCACCCAAACTTGCACAGACGCTGTTTGCCATCTTAGATCCCTATACTACAGCAGTAACAACAGGCCCCCACCACCAGCATCACTTCCAGCTCCTTACCTTCCTTCCGTTGGTGACAGCTCCTTTAAGTCTTCCAAGCCAGGCTTTACATTCAGTAGCTTCTTGTAGAGAGCCAATGGGAAGTGGAGATCAACCACCGTGGAGTTGTAGATAGCCAGTCCACAGGCTATGCCAATCAAGTGAAACCAGCTGCGCTCTACAAAACACTTTCAGGGTGCACGAAAGGGTATTAGGAAGAAATCACGTTGGAAGACCTTCGAATACTCTACTACCTACTCAAAATGCTCCGGTGTATTACAATCAAGCCCACATTTATATTTACACTCTTGACGCAGAGAAAGTTCCCTGATCAAAGTTTGCTGCCATTAACAGATGCAGTGCAAAGCCAAGCTTGTGACCTCTTCTGATGGTATAGAAAGAGTCTCCTATTCTCTCCAGCACGGCTCTTCAGAAACCATTCTGTGACGATGCAACTGTTCTGTTCTGCAGCACCCGATTGTAGCCACTGGCTACGTGTGTCTACTAAGCACATTGAGTGAATCTTTACTAGTGAATTTTAATTTAAACCATCAGATGAGATGCAAATAGCTACAACCATTGAGGACAATGAAACTCTACAGAGAAAACTCTAGGAGCCAAAAGTTCTGAAATTATGGGTTGGACGAAATAAGAGCCCCTCAAATGTTGGAGATCTAACCAGGGTATGCATGCTAGATTTGTGCGCTACCATGGAGCCACACCCCCAACTCTAGCATGGCATCTAACACTTAGCTCTCCTATTGAATTTTTTTTAAGTAAAAGTCTATGTGTACATATTCAGACACAAACTACCATCATTAAAAAGAATACATATGTGACTACCAATGCCCAACACAATATAAAACCAATTTCTTTTCTCTCTCTTTTTAAATTTTCACTAAAGCCTTTGGATAGAATTTCTTAGCTGTAAAGGATGATCCTATTATGCGTCATAATCCTGTTAGGATCATCCCATCATCCCCATTTCACTCTGTATTTAGTTCCAGAGCAGTCAGCCTATCCTGTGCTGCTTGTCTGTGTTGTTGAAACTTGGTCCAGCCAGCACTATAGAGTTGTCCAGACAATGGATACCAAAGCTCAGGTCATATTTGATACCCAATTCAATGTGTTCCTGGGTCTTTGTGATGATGAATATTGATTGCTAACCTGGCTGGAATAAACTTAGAGACATACCTCAGGGTGGGGTTATAAGGGCATTTCTAGGAAGGATTAGCTGAGAGCAAAGACCCTTCCTCCTTTCAGAGTTCTGCAGGGAAAGCAATGTGGTCTCGCTCTGTCCTGTTGAATATGCCTATTGTTTCTGCTGCTAACACCAAACTCCAGCTTTTTTGGGTTCAACTATAAACTAAAAAGCAGTGGTCCCCAGGAATCCCCCAGGCCTTCCCACCAAACTTGAACTGCTGAGCACCCAGTCTCAAGGACTGAGTAGTTGTTCCTGCAAACAGACACCCACTGTTGACTACCTAGTCTAATACACCTTTTACATAATACATATTCACCTAGTTGGTTCCGGTCCTCTAGAGAACCCCAACTCACGCAATCCCCATGCCAAAGTTCCCCGTATCCGAGGGCTGCTTTTTCCCAACTCAGTCTCAGCCATCTGCACTCCAGGATTTCTTCTGTCCTGGCCCACAGACCACACAGTAGGTGGTATATTTTCCTTTATCTCAGCGCTCAAAGAACCTACTAATACATCTAGCATTGGAAAACACTAGGGTCTGGCCTGTGGGCTGCTCTACCACCTGAGCTGAGCAGGTCAGTGTGCATTCACTTCCCAGACACGGGGAGCTCCACGTGCGTTCCCCTTTCTCACCTTCATCCTTTGCTATGTCAGAGAAGAGGAAGAGCTAAACTAATCTCTTAAAATTATTTATTTTGTTATGTGTGATGGAGGATGTTCTGTATGTATGCTTCTCTTATTGGCTGATGAGTAAAACATTGACTGGTCAGTAGCCAGGCAGAAAGCATAGGCGGGGCTACCAGACAAGGAGACTTCTGGGGAGAGGAAGAAGAGAATGAGCCGCCGAGGCGCCTGGTAGTGACTGGGAAGATAGGAAACACTGGGGTTCTCTGGTAAGATAAGACCATGTATTAATACATGGATTAATAGTTAAGGGAGAGCTCGCCAGTAAGGAGCCTAAGCCATCGGCCAAACAGTTTCTAATTAATAAAAGTCTCTGTGTATTTATTGGGGCCTGAAGGGTGGCAGGACCAGGCAGAGCAGAATCTCTTATCTACATACGTGCATGGGTGTTTTGCCTGTATGCATTTCTCTGTCTACGAGCATGCTTGGTGCCTGAGGAAGCCAGAGAGAGCATCCCCTAGAAGTGGAGTTACAGATGGTTGTGAGGCATCATCTGCATGTCTGGAATCAAACCCAGATCCTAGGTAAGAGCACTCAGTGCTTTTAACCACTGAACCATCTCTCCAGCCCCTATAACTATTTTTTTTTTAATCACACTGTTTCTTTTGCCCTTTGTGGATACTATAGCTTGGATTTTACCTAATAGAAACAGCACTGGAGTTCATGGCTGACAAAATGTACGAGTCTTGAAAGCAGGTCCAGCCAGAAGGCTGGCTATGTTAGGCACTTTAAAGGTTAATTTTGCAATGTTACAAACCAAGGGGCTAGTCTGACAACAAACAGAAAGTTTAGTGCAAACAGTATACTTAATTGTGATGCTATGAACTTACTGTATCTGAAAACCACAAGAGCTGTGAGTCTTGATAGTAGGTAAACATCCCATAAATGGGATTTAAAAGTTCTTTCAACAGCAAAAGAAAGAATTCCTTTGTAACACCACCAGCATCTACTGCTTCTTCCCCATCAAAGATCACCTCAAAACATGAAAACAGAACAGATACATCAGGGAAAGCAATGGCCAGCCAAAGACTCAGCTATGTTACCATGCAAGAACCCCTGTCTGAATAACTGAGCGAAAGCAGGGGCTATGTGTAATGATACCCAGAAGTTCTGGGGAGAACAACCACACAGACCACAGATTATGAGGGCTTTTAGTAGTCTTCTTTGTGTGGTTCCGTTAGTTGAACAGGAACCACACACACCGGAAGCGAGTGCTCAGCAAGTCCTCTTTCACTGGGACACGCACAAGTGAGTCATGTGCTCCCCACTCAGCTACACTTCCAGTCCTTGTTACACTTAACTCTGAGATAAAATCTATCCAAGTTGTCAGGAATGGCTGTGTGCTTCCCATTCACCTACTCCAGCCTCCTGATTAGCTGGGATTAGAGTTGTGCATATGTGTCCTTATTAGGGCATTTTGGAGATGGTAACAATGTGAGATAATCAGTTCAATCTGTTGCAGACTATGGTTCTGAAACCAGCACTTGTGAGACGACTTGCAACAGGGATGGAAGTCATTTAATTTTAAACAACTTCAAATAATTTGCTATCTATGCCTCAGGATACCTGCTATAGACCAAGTTTCATAGAGTCTGGAGCATAGGAAGCAGTCTTGTGCACTAATGCACAGTCTCTTGGAAGGGATACTTTATCATAATTACATATTGCTAAACTAGCCTATACTTGTAGGCCAACAGCTTCATAGATGACTTCCCACCTATTCACCTCTCCGTTTCTCATTTACCTTCTGTCTCTTAAATCCTGGACATCCTAATCTTCCTACGTGAAGTCTAAATGCTGTGTTTTGTCAAAGTGACATCTCATATGACTGTTTTCGATAGTCTAGAGCAGGTGCACTACAGACAGCAGAAGCAGAGCCCAAGAACCTCTCCACAACCCAACAGCATTTGATTTGCTGTTCCAATGAGAGCTTCTTTCTAGTGACTTAACAAAAGGAGGTGATTGAATTCTTGTAAGAAGCTTGAAAGCAGTGACGAGTGGCTGCCCTCTGTATCTGTGCACTATCTCTGCTGCTATATACTCATGAAGGTACGAGGAGGACCCTGAAGGGGCTCACTTTGAGAGGCTTCTTCAGGTCGATGTCAGAATGAATGCTCAGCTCTCTCAGGGCATCTCCAACAAGGTGGTTCCTGCGGACATGAAGGACCAGGAAGGGGCTTCTGGCCAGCAGAGGCTCCAAGGTGAGAAGCATGAAGACATTCTGCAGGTTGGCTCCGTTCACTGCCACCTGGAACAGAACAACCGGACCATTCTGAGAACAGCGCACAGCCTGGAGAATCTCTGAACCAGAAACAGCCGACTGCATTTCCATCTTGCCTTTTCTCTAAAACCTTTTTTTGCTACTTATACTTACAAACCACATAAATCTTTCTAATATGGACTCAAGAAGGTTAGCTGAAATAAGTCAGGCAGTGGTTGCACACGCCTTTAATCCCAGAACTTGGGAGGCAGTGGCAGGCAAATCTCTGTGAATTCCAGGATAGCCAAGGCTACACAGAGAAACCCTGTCTTGAAAAACCAAAAGAAAAAAAAAGGGTGAGCTGAAATAAATTCTGAGTCATATGTTCAAAATAACGAGGTCCTGTAAAGTGATTTCAACTCATTAAGAATAAAGTAACAGCCTGCTTGAAGAATCATGGCAAAGTACATCAACACACAATTCTCAAAATTGCAAAAAAGAAACCAACAGTCATTGAGAAAAGTGTGCATTTCATAGAAAAGCTGCAGCTCAACAATACAATATCCATATTCATATGAAAGCAGATATACACACAGACATAAAACTGGAGAATGATAAAAAGAAATGGAGAGAAAGAAAGACAAATGAACACGTGTCCATTAACAGGAGAGGAGGGCTTGGGAGATCAGGACTGCTAATTAACTAATGTCTCTGTATACATTCTAACAAAATAAATTATATTTTATGATAAAAACACAGTAAATTAAACTATTAAATCTTTTTTTGATTCATTAAACACCACCAAGTTCCATTTGACTATCCACTGATTATTGTATCAGGCCAGCAAATTATGGCCCCAAGGCCTGGGGTCTGGTTTTGCATAACTCTTGCACTAATGATGGTTTTTCTATAGTTTTAAATGGTTGAGGGGTAATATATACAATATATAGAATATTATAGAAAAGTCAAGTTTAAAGATACATAAAGTTTTGCTTTGATTCTGGGGTGTTGTGATTTTTTTTGGCCTTTTTCTTTTCTTTCCTTTTGAGGCTAACATCTACAAAAGAGTTAAATGGTTTTTAATGGAGTCACAGGGTCTACAAAGCCTCACGTGTTTGCTACGTGGCAGAAACAGAAAATACCTATCATTCCAAGTCTACATAAATACACACTGAACATAAAATTACTGAACCTGGCTTGGTGGTACATACCTATAGTTGTAGCAACAGGGGCCTGGAGAAAGACCAAAATTTCAAAGTAACCTTGACTACGTAGTGAACTCAAAACTAGCCTGGAAAGAAACTCAGCCCAGGAGGTAAAAGACCTTCACAAAAAAAGGTTTAAGAGGTGTGTGTGTGTGTGTGTGTGTGTGTGTGTGTGTGTGTGTGTGTGTGTGAAAAACTACCCCAGAAGATAGACAGATCTTATATACCAAGAACAATACTACTCCTAAAAGCAATATAGAGATTCAACACAATCTATATCAAAATTATTTTTCAAAAAATCACATTTTGTCTTTATATTAATAAAATTTGCATATTAAACAACAGTATGATTTGACTTACTTTGTGCAGAAGAATACAGAAAAAAAAATTCAGATTACTAAAATAAACCCACGTAGCTACAGATGCCTCACCTTTGACAAAGATGTCAAAAACACACATTAAAAAAAAGATAGCCTCAAGCCAGACAGTGGTGTTGCATGCCTTTAATCTTAGCACTTGGGAGGCAGAGGCAAGCAGATCTCTGTGAGTTTGAGGCCAGCCTGGTCTACAAGAGCTAGTTCCAGGACAGGCTCCACAGCTGCAGAGAAACCCTGTCTCAAAACAACAACAACAAAAAAAACAACTACTAAAAAAGCAAAATGTAGGTCGGAATCTCTCAACCCTGTACAAAAATCAATTCAAAATAGATCGAAGTAACGTCAACGTAAGACTTGAAAAATACTAAAGGAAAAGGTAAGTTAAAAACGACTTCAAAATGGAGACGGTGCCAACAGTTCTCATAAGAAATAACTCTTAAGAATTCACTGGTAAAACTGCATGAAAAGGCTTTTGCACAGCAAAACAACAACCAGCAGACAGGCAAGGGACTAGAGACATGGCTCCGTGGTTAAGAGCATGGGTTGCTCCTCCAGGGGACCCATGTTTAATCCCCAGCATCTGCATGACTCCAGTCCCAGGGGATCTGATGCCCTCTTCTGGCCTAATTGGGCACCAAGCAAGCATGTGATGCACAGACCCACATTCAGGCAAATACTCATATACACATAAAATAAATAAAACCTTAAAAAAGTTGAAAAATGGGAGAAAAGTCCTTGTTAACTATACATTCCACAGGAACATCTTGTACTAGGTTTTTGGTTGTTCATTCTTTCTTCCTTTGACGTAAACTAGAGTCACCTGGGAAGAAGGATCCTCAATTTCAACTGCTTCTATCAGATTAGCCTAGGACCATGTCTCTGGAGCATTTTGATTAATGATTGATGTGGGAGGGCCCAGTCTATATGCGTGGTACCATCCCTGGGCAGGTGATCCTGGGTCATTTAAGAAAGCAGGGAAGAAAGAAAAGAGGGAGGATGATCTAATTATATTTAAATTAAAAATTAGCAAATATTTTTATATACAAATAAATATTAGAACTAAAAAAAGCAAAACAGAAGCCGAGCAGGCCATGGAGAGAAAACCAGTAAGCAGTGCTCCTCCATGGTCTCTGTTACAGTTCCTCAAACTGGAGTTACGCCCTGACTTTCCTCAGTGACAGACTGTGGCCTGGGAGCTGTACATACATAAGACAAATGGAAATGGACAAGAAGAAGTGAAAGGAGGAAATGACCCTGAAGATGCTACCGCTACCTGCATCTGTAACTCTGCATCAGTCTGTAGCATTTTGGTCTTGGCTTGGGCATCGAAGATGAAAGGGTAGGAGCAAAGGGTTACAGAATCCTAGAAGAAAATACATCGTTAGTATTATTACAAAATCCCACAGAGAACACTGGAGACAGACATATCAGTATGTTCAAAAGGCGTCATTTACCTGTATGATAGACGGTCTAGCTTTCTGCATAAAAAACAAAAAAAAGACACACTCTTACTTGAATTATAAAAGTATTTTAATCCCCTAAATATAAAATATATATAACAAATCTTTTCACATTATCTGGGTTTTCAGCCATCAACCTAATACTGTTTCAATAGCTGACAATGTTTTGATAAGAAAAAAGAAAGATGTTTTGATGGACACAGATTGAAAAAAAAAGAGCAAAAGTCTTAAAAAAGTAAAAATTGTTAAAAAAAAAAGTAAAAGATTGTTAAGGCCATTTACTGATTCTTCATAATTTACAAGATTGATTGGTTTCTCTCTATAAGAGATCTACCTCCAGTTGGCAGAACGGCACGTGACTACGATCCTAGCACCTGTCAGGTAGGTTCAGGTGGGAAAACTACCAGCTGAAGGCCCGCCTGGGCTACACAGCAAATGTGAGGGTAACACTTGTATTCCAGATGAGGGCTGCTCAACCTGGAATAGAAGTAACTTTCTTTTTCTCCTGCACACATGCTTAGAGGGAGCAAACAGTAATACTCACATTAGATAAATACTTTGACACAAATTTGGGGATGACTCCAGTATTCTGATTTTGAGACAAGTTATAGTAAACAAATTCAGCCATAATAAAGTGTATGTAACAGGTGCATTACAGTTTTTGTGTCAGGAAAATAAGGGAAGATCAGGCTGTACACTGCAATGTATTCCTCCATATGGTAAATAACAGTGGCTCTCGGGTTGTGTCTTGCCTAGGGAACTCCATTTTACAAAGCACCAGCTGACTTCATTCTGAGTGCAAACACAAGGCAGGATGACAATTATGCTGCAACTTTCGTGCAAGTACATGCCACCACCTGCCTAGCATGGGCATGAGCTGTAGACTGATAAATGACTTATACAGGTACATAACACATCAACACAGGTTAGGAACAAAAGCGCATGGAGGTAGGATTTAAAACCATATGCACAAAACCAGGACAAGAATCAGACAGACCAACAGAAGTACAACATACTTACCTGGACCCCCACAGAAAGAAGTATATCTAACAATAAAGTGGTAGGATCCCACCCACTGAACACCCTGTGAACACTTCAAGGGACTGCCAGGCAGAGAGTTATTCCTGGGGCTTCAGCTCAGTTCAGCCATGGCCCATATCAGCTCAGTTCAGTCTGAACTGCTTGCCATGGCCCATTTTGTGTTGCTATCTGTCCACCCAGCCATCTGTCCATTTGTCTGTTTACCCATCTATCTGGACCAGGTCTTATGCCTCACCTTGACAACCCTACAGCCCTGCAGCTGGGCTTGATGCTATGACTGGTTTTCAACCCTATGGCTCAGTTCTGCTGGCCTCCAGCCGCCACCCAGCTGGGTTCAACAACACTGGAAGCACCTGTAATACAGATCCCTGATTCTGCTTCCCAGAAGGCCTCTGGACTCCGTGACTTCTTAAAGTCTTTTGTAGCCATTATGAAACCAGCATGCATACTGTGTAAAATGTAATCTAGGATTTCACAAGTAATACTAGCAATTAGACTAGAACAAAAGAACTTGTAATTTGCTAATGGCCAGCTATCATTGCAATAGCTGGCTTTTTCGGTCAATTTATAATCTTCAAAAAGGCCGACCTTTGGATATATCAGTAATGGTGTTAAGAGGTGAAATGACCCACCCTGGAAGTAAGTGGGCGGCACCACTCCATGGGGTAGGGTCCCGGCCAGAATAAAGAATGTGAATGTCAGACTTGGGGTATAGCTCAGTTAGCAGAGTGCACGTCTCGAATATATAAAGCCTCGAGTTTGATTCCCAGCACTGCATAGATAGCATGGTAGCACATGCTTATAATCCTGGCACACAGAGGTGGATACAGGAATGTATAATGAGTACACATCATTCTCCAATCCATAGTGAGTGTGTGCCCAGCCTGAGCTACAGAAGACCTTATTTCAAAAGGGCAGGGGGGGCCATCTACTACTGAATTCCTGGAAGACACTGTTCCCAGATGCTCCCACTGCGTGCCTCCACCACCCTGAGGGTCTGCAACCTTCGGAACACCTTTAAGTTGCCTTTTTCAGGCACCTAATCACAGCAATGTAGAAAATAACTAGTAAACACGAATTTATTGTTATTCAATACTGCGGAAAGACACCAAAATATCTATGTTTCTAGCATGGTATGCTCATGATAGGTATGAAATAAACATTATTAACAGAAACACAAAAACCAACAACAAAGATCATCTTGATCTGCAACATGTCAAAATAAAACAATGAACAAATCATTCATGCTTAAGAGATCTGATTAAAGCTGCTGTTGCTTTAACGCCTCCTAGAATGTCCTGTGTTTTTTAAATGATTTTCTTAAAAAAAAAAAGCACATTCTGAAAGATCTCTTTTTCTTTTGTGTTATCACTCAATTTACACTTATCTGTTAATAACTGCATGGGTGGGTTGTAAACACTTAACTGTGCAAGCACAGTGAGAAAAGAAAACAATGGGTGTTTTGTTTTGTTTTTGTTTTGGCAGGGTAGGTTCTGTGCTTACTAAGGAAAAAGCCGATACTTCCCTAGCTTGCTGCATCAGGAACATTTAAAGGCAGAGGCAGAAAAAGGAGCTGAGTCATTTCAGAAGGCCTGTGAGAGAACTCAAACCAGGCCTGGCGGCTGTAGTCCTCATCTGCAATGCTGGAACATTTGGGGAAGGAGGGGGGACACTAGCTCACCACTGAGCCCATGAAACTCATAAGCATTTGAATGATTATAATGTTTTCTTATTCAATGTGTCCATTTAATTTGGTTTATGTATATTATATGAATAAGAACTATACTTCCTTTTGTGTTATGCACATTTAAGTGAAGTCATATAACAGCAACAATGAGATTCCATCCTATGATTCTTGAGAACTACATCCTTTATGGGTCTTGGAATATTTCTCTACACTGAGAAACATGAGAGACAATTCCAGCCCGGTGGAAGAAAGTCTGGAACATATAATGCAGGTCAGTGCACACACAAGCAGGTCAGAATATAGCATATTTTGAATTTATCATTGATCGCCTCTTATAAGGCTGTTTACCCTGGGATACCCATCCTCAGAAACGAGTCTCAAAGACTTGAGGTTCCAGGGTACCAATGAACAGTATTTCAAGGTCTCTGCCTGCAAGAGAGTTGCATCTATGGCATGAATTGCCTTTTCAAAGTATATGAAACAGCAAGATGTTAAGATTTCTCAGACTTTGTCTCTGAAGGCCTTCTGCAAAGCACCAAATGGCTTACTTACACTGCCCTCTATGGGCGCCTACAGGCATTTACTCTGTTTAGTTTCCAAATGAAGGCTAGGGCACATTATTAGTTAATAAAAGAATCCACTATTACTTCTTCTTAAAATGAACAAAACCAGCCACTTCAGAACCATCCTTGTCTGGGCTTCACTCATCAAGGTAGATAAACATAAGGCTGTGCTCCATCCCAGTCAAGGCAATAAGATGTAGGTGTTCAAAGCTGCTTGTGAAAAACTTGCTGAAGGCGTCCGATGTGCCAGGTACTGCAGTGGCCCCACTTAATATTACCTCACAATACTGTCTCAAATGAGAATGCCAGGCCTAAGGAAAGTAATTTAACAAGGCCAAAGGTAGCAGATCAAAATTAGAATTTTAATCAAGTTATTTTGTCTTTTTTTTTTTCTTTGATAAAGTATTACTATTCAGCCACACTCACTCTATGGACCAGGCAGGATTTGAACCCACAAAGACCTGCCTGCCTCTGCCTTCCACATTGCTGGGATTAAAGGTGTGCACTACCACACCCGTAGAAGGCATCAGTGCTCACAGATATAAGCACTACAGAAACCACAAATACAAAATCACACATGGATGTCTCCTCAAGGGAGGAAATGCACATCTGTTTTCCAGCCAGAAGGTTAGGAGTGGGTTTGTTAATGATCTAGTGACCTTTGCTATCTCTAGAGTCAGACCACACCCAACCCCTTCCCTAGACCTTTAATTTAGTGTTGTTTCTCAGGCAATAGAACCCATGCTTAGGGGAAATGTTACATGTACTTTACAGCCTGCTGACCTCTATGTTATCTCAGGCAGAGACCACACCAGATCCTAGGGCCCTTAATCTACAGAACATGGTCACATGTACTTTGCAAAACAGTTTCAGTGTAGTTATGTCTTAAACTTATTGTGCACATGGGACTGAGATAATTGTTACCAGGAAACCTTTTATCCAAATTTGTACTGTACTTAAGTGTGTCTAAAATAAACACCCTTGGTGTCAGACTACAGAAGTTTGGAGCAGCCCGGCGAAGTCATGCTGAACTGAATTTCTTTGTTGTCTCTCCACTGTTGACATCTCTGCAGGCAATAGCATTTACAGGGACCCCTTCAAGGGCCCAGACAGTTCTTTTTAAAATGGACCACGTGCTTTGTCTCATACACTGTGCTAGTAAAAGGGTAAAATACTAATACAGAAGACCAATTATTCATGAGTTTTAAAGTGATTAAAATAGAAACTATATGAAATGCCATCAGTATCGAAAGCAAAACTTCCAGACATCAAGAAACTTAAATTTCAATTCCTAATTACACTGTACCCTATACAATAGAAAAATTTCTAGAGAAAGCATAAAAAGTCATACACTAACTTGAGCTAATTTTCTACCTTGTTATAGTAATGGATTTAATTACCAAAGAGGAGATGAACTATAGAGATCTGGTAAGACGTTGTTTACCACATGACCTCTGCTAATCACAGAAAGAAACTGGTAAAATTGTTCATTTAAGTGCCTCTGCTCAAGAGACCATGCTCATATCCACTGACATTCTAATATGAGCAGTTTCTTGCTGAGGGCCAGACGGAAATAAGAACTGAATGTCAGAGCAAACTGAGCTAGAGAAAAATTGTTCAACGTCCACAGGCCTCTGTGTTCTACCTGGGGACAAAGTAATTACCTGAAATAACTTTCTATCTCTGACATTTTATAATTGGCAAACTGACCTTTCATAATTTCTAAATGAAGTAAGACTAGAGTCCATTGATACTCCCATGTTTCAATATCAACTCTTTTTTTTTTTTTTTTTTTTTTTTTTTGGTTTTACGAGACAGGGTTTCTCTGTATTGTTTTGTAGGCTGTCGGTCCAGCCCAGCCTTGAACTCACAGAGATCCGCCTGCCTCTGCCTCCCGAGTGCTGGGATTAAAGGCGTGCGCCACCACCTCCCGGCCCAAAATAACTTTTCAATAGAAATGTTTTAAAAGAGTTGAAGCCGGGCGGTGGTGGCGCACGCCTTTAATCCCAGCACTCGGGAGGCAGAGGCAGGTGGATCTCCCCGACAGCCTACAAAACAATACAGAGAAACCCTGTCTCGTAAAGCCAAAAAAAAAAAAAAAAGTTATTTTGTCTTTCAAAACAATAACAAAAAATACAATTGTCCCAATTTTCAAATTTTCATGAGAAAAAAATTTCCATTATTTTGATCATCTATCATCTGACCTAGAAAACTACCTTAGCTATTAGTTAAATACACTTATGTAAATACTTTGCCTTTAGAGACCACTGCAAAGCAGCTCAAAATCCATACAGGGAAAACGCCACCCCGATGCCGGTGATGAATCTGTGAAGGCAGCGAAGGACTTGCCTCAGATGTATCTGCTACACCCGCAGCATTAAATATTAGTACCAAACGATCACCTGTTCTCTGGCATGCAAATTTGCACAAATCCTAAAACCCTTCCATATGTCCAGGACAGCCTGCTATCGATGAGCAACTGCTACCAGGCCTGGAGCAGCAGACCTGGAGCAGCAGACAGGAAACCACAGGCCCTTGAGTGCTACATCAAACATCATCAGAGTTGGGTCAGGGATGTATGACATCCTTCTATGAGCCAACCTCAAGGAGAGGTGGCCACTGGGTCTGGGTAGCTCATGAAAGAAGAGTGAAGTAGGCTACCTGTCAGAAAACAATGACTAGCAAATGATCCCCAATGCCAGGGGTAAATCAGTGGGGATGGTGGCCCACAGACTGCCTACGAGATGGTCTTCCACCCAGCCAGCTGGTAACTTCTGAAAGGCAGATCTTCCAAGATCCAAGAAATGCTGAAAGCTTATGTATTAATGTCCAGATATCTAATTTGTGGCTCAAAAAAATAAGTTTATAATATAAAATATACCATCCTCGTTATTTTCAAATGGATGGGTCAGCAGTATTGAGAATATCTGCATGTACAGGGGACACAGCTTATTAGGTAGGGCCTTGTCCCGCTGAATGAAGCCCTGAGTTTGATACCAACAATGCATAAAAAACAGGTGTGGAAGCACACACTAGTGACCCCAGAACGTGGAAAGAGGTGGGGAGGCAGGATAACCAAGGTCATCTTTCTTCATATGATGAGTCTAAAGTTCATCTGGGATGCATGAGACCTTATCTCAGACACAAATCAAGGGGCTGGAGAGATGGCTCAGCAGTTAAGAGCACTGGCTACTCTTGCAGAGGACCCAGGTTCAATTCCCAGGCATGACATGGCAATTCACAGCAGTCGGTAACTCCAGTTCCAGGAGATCAAAGGGCCTTGCCTGGCAGGGCACCAGGCATGCACATGGTACACAGACATTCATACAGATAAAACACTCAAACGTATAAAATGAAATATTAAAAAAAAAAAAAAGCCAACCCCTGAAGTAGTTCCACTGTTATGATGGGGAATGTCCTTCAGTATATATGTTTCTCTTATTGGTAGATGAATAAAACCAATGGTCAATGGCGGCAGGAAGATGGGCGGGACTAGGAGACGAGGAGAATTCTGAGAAAGGGAGGCAGAGAGAGGCCTCAAGACGACACCGGGTAGCCGTAAAAGGAGTAACAGGTCTGGGCATTCTCCAGTATGCCAAGACCATGTGGAAATACTTAGATTAATAGAAATGGGTTAATAATTAAGAGAGAGATAGCCTGTAAGAAGCCCTAGCCATCGGTCAACAGTTTAATAATTAATATAGTGTCTCTTTGTGTTCACTTGGGGCTGAAGCAGTGGGAGCTGGTGGGACAAGAAACTCTGGCAACACCGTCAGACAACAGAATTCCAGAACCATCACATCCTCCTGAACTGGAGCCTGACATGTATTGAAAACAACAACTCCCATTTCTTCACTGCCTGCAAACCACCTCTGCCAACCATCAATTCACTGCTTTTATCAACCTGACTGCTTGAGGCTCTCCCTCCCTCCCTCCCTGTTAATGTAGTACTGGGGGTCATACCTAGAGCCCTGAGCATGCTAAGCACACACTTCACCACTAAGTTACATTCCAACCCCAGACGACTTATGGACCCATATGACATTTATGGCTACCTAAAATACTTCCAAGTTTCAAGAATGCAAAAGTTAATTGAGTGGAAGACAGGTGTGGCACCAGCATTCAAGTCAAAGACAAGGTACACGGCTCAAGTGTACATTTTAAAAACAAGCAGAAATACAAAACACAAAAAGGCTTAAAGGTTTAAAATATGCTTTTTATAAATTCTTACCATCCCTGCTTGATGCAGAAACCACATGAGGTAGTCTTCTTGAATGTCCACAAGAGTAGAAATCTCGGGGATATAAAACGTATCGTATTCCACATGCTTCACTCGAAGATTCACCTGACGAAAGCTCGAAGTAAGAACAACAGAAAGCAAAGACCTGAAGTCTCCCAGAGGAAGCCCCAGCAGGACACTCCTTCCCTCCTTCCTCTCCCCACCCCGAAGGGTTACCTTGTATAATTTCTTCAGAAGCTTGAGTGCTGCAGTCACGTAACTGGTAAACAGTACAGGGATTAGGAACGTCTTCCTTCCCCTTAGCAGATAAAGGACGGCATCTTTATAGAGGGTTACCAACTTCAGGAAATACTTCGGGCATGCCTGGGACCACCAGTTATCTTAAGAAAGAAAGAGAGACATGTCTTAACACATAAACCTTGGGCAAGCGTTCTTATGTCGTCTTCTGATAGCTAAAACTCTTACGGCTAGAAGATAAATAATAATCTACAATACAGCTTCCCAGAAGTGATTTTAAAAAGGAACCATTGAATCATGTCTGGAGAAAACATCTGAACAAGAAGTCCTAAAACTTTTACCTTCTTCCCTCATTCCTTCCCTCCCTCTCCCCCTCCCTCTCCCCCCTGCCTCTTTCTTTCTTTAATGTTTTGTTGTTGTTACTGTTCGCTTGTTTTCAGACTCATCCTGAATGCTAATCTGAAAAAGCTCAGTCCAAGGCTGTGTGGGGCCCAGACGCGCTCCGCTCCGGGCAGCAGGATGCTATAGGATGTTACTTTACCTACGGCAGAAGCACTCGTGTGGCCTAGTCCTTCCAGCAGTGCCCTCAGCCACTACTGACAATCTGTACCTCATACTCAGGATGGGTCAAGGGACACCACATACTCAGAGGAAGAGAGAAGCCACTTCTTCTGTTATGAGGCATAATTAATGCTTAAAAAATAAATCCAATATGTATATTCTCCCCAAGAGGTACTTTCTCCTAACCAAGCAGGATTTTATCACTGGATTCTTCAGAAATGAACTCCCCCACACTGAAACCCTTATTTTAAACAAGGTTACCTTATTTAAAATATTTCATTAAAAATCAAAGTGGGAGGGTGGCTGAGGAGACTGCTCTTCCAGAGACAGGTTTTATTCCTAACACCTAACCTGCTACTTACAACCATCTGAAACTCCAGTTCCAGGAGACCTGATGCCCGTGTCTAGCCTCCATGACACCAGGCACGCACATGGTACACAGACATACATGCACGCAAAATATCCATACACATAAAATAAACTTTAAAGAAAATTAAAAGTGGGGGAAGAATGAAAAAAAACAGACAAACTACTGACAGCTGTTGGATCTGTATGTATGACATGCATCTACTGGGTTTGCTCTACTTTGAGGTTTTTCTTAAATCTGAACTGTTGTCAGAAGCTAGAAACAGATTAACCATAAACTTGAATAATCCTATTCTGTTTTGTGTTATCTGGCCTAGAAAAAACATTTTAAAATTTAAAATACCAAAGTTTAAAAGGTCTGATAAAATGTCTTTTAAAACTATCATTCTTCTATTGACATCTGTTAGAAGGACCTAAGAAAGCTCGCCCTGAACAGCTCCTGATCTCGGAAAGTATTAAGTACTAGCATATTACTAATCAGCTCATTGTTACTTCTGGATTTATCTCCTGTGTGAAGGTGGAAGCAATGGAAAAGCCAGAGGCAGGTCTATGCGCTCGAGGGAAAGCCGTGCTCCAGTGATACTCGGGCCACTTAAACCACAGATGTTACCAAGTTGAATCAAACACCTGAAAAAATTACCAAGGGAGGGAAAAAAGTGAAAAGCCAGGTTTCTGCACCAGATTACTAAAAAACGTCTCGGGCGCTACTCCAGCAGAGACCCTCTCCAGCTCGCTGAGGAACAGAAGGTTCTTAGCTCAGCAAAGTGTCCGGAGCCTGCAAAAATCAGTGTGGACTCAACTGTCCTAAAAAAGAAAAACAAAACAAACATTCCGTAAGTCCTTACTTGGTCACGCTCTATCTCTCCTTTCTTGGAGATCTCTGTATCACAAACCTGTTTATTTGACTCCCACCCCTAAAGTCAGTACTGGAGATGGATAGATAGAAGGGCACAAATAGATGAACATCACAACTGCAAGCAAATTAAGTTAAACAGTCAATTCGCCCAGATTGCAAGCAGGGTTAGGTACGAATCAACAGCAAAGAAAGAATTAAATGGCAAAGCTATTAAATGGCAACAAATAGAATGTTAGATCTCAGTCCACAAGAGCCAGCTGACAAAACAGAATGAATGAGTCTGAAACCAGAGATACTAAGTTTGATGAATTCACCTAATACTTTGCTAGGGTTTGTATCCAGCCGCAGAATAGCCATTGCCAGGGGAATAGTCAGCGTTATGTAATACTTAGAATCCTGAAGCAGGGGAAACTCTGGTAGTATTAAATAGATTCTCATCGCTTCAACATCTGGGGGTGAACTTGACAACTGAGGAATGAGGCAACTTTCAAAGCTGTTTAATATCTGTGAGAGAAGAAAAAAAGTAGTGAGAAATTTAAACCTATCTGAGACTTAAACTCTTCTCCAAATTCCTAAGTCATCTGATGACCTCACAAGTCATGCTCAGTGTGCACTGAGCTAATGGTAGGAGCCAGGCCCGGCTTCCCACTCACCAAGACCTGGTATTGTAGAGAAGCCATTCCTTGGGAAGATGTAAGCAACAGATAGCCCACCTCCCACCACTAATATTTTTATAAAATTAAGGCTTGTACAAGACTCTGTCATTTCATCTTGCTGTTCCTTATGTCTTATAGTTTTGGTTGTGAGCCTAGCCTTTAACGGCTTCACCATCTCTCCAGCCCAAATTTGTAGCCCAGGCTGGCCTCGAACTCTTGAGCCTCCTGTCCCTGCCTCCATCAACAAATCCTACTGTCGTGCACCATCACAATCGGCCCCTTTTGTCTTAAAGGCTGAACTCTTCAATGTAAGCCGCATTCTGCAAACACAAACAATGTACCTGTTCTAGAATCATGGAGTGCTGAGAGTGCATCAACTTCTCAAATAAAACCCTAGTTGAGTTCAGGTCAATCCCAGGGATTTTAGAGCTGGTCTTAAAATGTTCATCAATTCTAAACAAACAAACAGACAAACAAAGAAAGCAAAAAGCAAGCACTGATAAAAACTGGAAGAAGTTAATCAGCTTATCCATTCTAGGCAGATTTAAATTCTAGGCAGATATTACAGAACACTGATTTGGGAAAAACCAAGCCTTACAGCAACTCTGCCACGCCAGTTTGGTTTGGTTTTGAGAAAGGTAACCCTGGCCAGCCTAGAGCTTTCTATGTAGACCGTGCTGGCTTCGAACACAGAGACAGATCCACCTGCCTCTACTTCCTGAACGCTGGAAGCAATTCTACTTTTAAACATGGCTTCAAATTTTCAAATCTCCGCACCCACAAGTCAGAGTACAAAGACTAACATTTTAAGCCAAATGTTTGACAAAGCATAAACGCAGGTCCCTTGCCTGATCCACTTCAATGTCTTCTTGCTAGATGTGGCCTGTCGCACATGTGGCTACCTGACCATGGACTGAAAATGCTGGAAACACACCCAAAATAAGCATGTCCTTTCCAGTTATGACAGGAATTGGTTACACTAACAGAAAGCTGATTAGCTTACTCGTCTTGACATACCATTAACCTGGTCAGAGGCTGAAAGGGACTATGAAACGGTAGGGCCTGGAACCACCAAAGATCCCAACCCTTGGCAAGACCACTCTGCTGCATGAGGTTCCTGAGGGGCCACCCGCAGAAGAGATAAGGCCAAAAGGGACATCCTATTTGATGCCTCTGTCATTGCCGGAGCTGAGTCGGCTCCCAGGAGCCCCTGAATTAAGCCTCCCTAAAATGTCTTCATTTCTTACTCCTGTTGGGAAATGAAAATTACCTGAGCAAATAACTGGCACAGAGACTGCGTAGAGAATTGTGAACTTAAGAACAAATCGCAAACTCATGTAGGGAGCAGCAGCACTTTAGGACAGCCTGCAGTTGTGGTGTTGGGTCACCCTAGATCTCCCAAGGGGCAGTTTCTCTCCGCAAATCTGCCAGTGAGGGGTCAGTGACCACCACCACCCTGGGTTCTCTAGTTCATCATTACTGGATATCTCAGTTTTTACACGACTATCAGCTTTTCCCCTTCAATTGAAACCAGACACTATCCAAAAGAAGTCTTCATGGCCTTTGGTAAGTATTTACATTACATACCGGTTTATAAGCCTCTAGGACACTTACTTATTTTCCAGGAAACTTCCATTCCAACAAGCTGCAGAAGACAGTATCTGGACAACACCGCTATTCAAGAGAGAAGAGAAGAGAGAAGTCTAAGAATTACGAATCAGTACTTATAGAGGCATCAGCAGTAAGCAATCATCTGACTAATCCGGTCCTTAGGTCATCAAGGCAGCTTCATTCCTCTAGCTGGTGCATACCTGACTTAGAGAGCAGTATTTCACCTGCAAACAGACAAGAACAAATGTCCCACAAGTTACATATTTTTTAAAAGTGTCAAAACCCTAGAACCCTCACTCATCCCGTGGCTGAAGGAAGCAGAGGCAGACACCCACAGGTAGAAACCGAACTGAACTCCTGGAACCCAGTTGCAAAGAAGAGTGATGAGCAAAGGAATCAAGACTCTGCTGGCTAAACCCACAGAGGCAGCTGACCTAAACAAGGGAGAACACATGGACCCCAGACTGATGCCTGAGAGGCCAGCATGGGACTGATCCAGACTCCCCCTCCCCAAACCTGAGTGTCAGAGAGGAGGCCTCAGCAATCTAAGGGACCTTGGATAGTAGATCAGTATTTATTCCTGGTATACAAATGGACTTTGGGAGCCCATTCCACACGGAGAGATGCTCTCTCAGCCTGGACACATGGGAGAAGACCTAGGCCCTGCCCGGGATGATATGACAGACTCTGAAAATCCCTCATCAAAGGCCTCACCCTCTCTGGGGAACAGAAAGGGGATGGGATAGGGGATCGGTGAGGGGCAGAGAGGAGGGGAGGGAAAGGAAACTGGGAGTAACATGTGTAAAAAGTTAAATTTAAAAAATTATTATTAAAACAAGTATCAAAACCCATAAAAGAAAATCTGCTTCTAACAAAAAAATTAGACATTCTCTTACCACCATTTCCAAAACAAAAAAAGCGAGCTGTTATTTTCCAAGTACAAAAGTTAATGAATGCCAGACCATCTGAGAAAGATGGGTGCAGTTAAGATTTACTCCTATCACCTACACTCTGCAGAATCTGTAGGAGTGCCTACTTTCTAAGGACCCAGGATTGCCACGAAAGACAAGGGATAGGGGCTGGAGAGATGGCTCAGAGGTTAAGAGCACTGACTGCTCTTCCAGAGGTCCTGAGTTCAAGTCCCAGCAACCACATAGTGGTTCAAAAACATCTGTAATGAGATCTAGTGCCCTCTTGTGGCGTGCAAGCATGCATGCAAACATAATAAATAAAATTTAAAAAAAAGACAAGGGATAAAACAAGTAAATGATTAGGAGGAGACTGGAGGTTTGAACAGAAATGACCCCACAGGCTTTGTGCGTGCAGTCACCCAGAGGGAATGGCACTATTAAGAGATGTGGCCTTGTTGGGAGCAGGTGTGGTGTGGTTAGAGGCAGTCTGTCACTGTGGGGGTGGGCTTTGAGGTTTTATATGCTCAAACTACGCCTCGTATGGTACACAGACTCCTGCTGCTGCCTTTGGATGCAGGACTCTCAGCTCCTTCTCCAGCACCATGTCTACCTGCACGCCACCATGTCCTGCCATGAAGATGGTGGAGTAAACCTCTGAAAATGAAAGTCACTCAATTAAACACTTTCCTTTATAAGAGGTACCACGGTCATGGTGTCTCTTCACAGCAATAAACTCCAACTAAGAGAGAGACTGCTGTAATTTCTGTTGGCCGTAGAATTTGGGTCAGGCAAGACCTTTAGAAGTGATCTTCTCTAGCTTCGTTTGATAAGAAAATAGAAGTACAGGTAAAGCCAGCTGCTCAGCATCAGTCTGACCTCGCTTGTCCCTCCTCACTACCCTCAGCTGGCCTCACTACCTCCTCACTACTCCCTCAGCTGGCCTCACTACTCTCCTCTCTACCTGCCAGTCTCCGCTCCTGAGCAATGCCTGTAACAGGAGAAAGATTCTGAGGGCTGCTGTAGGGCGGGGCCTGGGCATTTGCTCCAGCAGTCTTGACCATAAAATACGACCCACCCCGAATTTCTCAGGGCAGCTGCCTTTGCTACACACTTTGATTTATCTGTTCCCATGAATGAGACTACAGGAAAAACATGGAAATGCTGCTCCAAGTCAACAGGAACCTATAAAAGAACGTACAGAAAACTATTTTCCTTTAAAAACCAAGCTCAACAAAAACTTCACATTTTTATTATACCTTTTCCCCAGAAGACTTTGAATTACCATTTCAACTAATTAGAATAGATGACAAAACTACAGAAGTTACACAAATTAGTTAAAAATAAAAGACTGGGAGGCAGAGGCATCTCTGTGAGTTCCAGGCCAGCCTGGTCTACATAGAAAGTTCCAGGACAGACTCCAAAGCTACAGAGAAACCCTGACTCAAAAAAAAAAATCCACAAAAATAAAAAGCTGCTAAGATTCAAGATTCTTACCGGGCGTTGATGGCACACACCTTTAAACCCAGCACTCGGGAGGCAGAGGCAGACTCATCTCTGTGAGTTTGATACCAGCCTGGTCTACACAGTGAGTTCCAGGACAGCCAGGGTTACACAGAGAAACCCTGTCTCAAAAAAAGAAAAAAAAATCAGTGTGGAGAAAACTCTTTCTATAGGCAACAAAATACAGAGAGCTCTCAGCAGAGAGACCAGCTCAGGCCTTCCTGGGATTTCAAAGGTCTTGCAACGGGTAAGTCGAGATGAGGAATGAGAATTGCTGAGTGAATCATTGTGCTAATGGGAGCTAATGAGATGAGGCTCCAAACAAATCTATAAGAATAATTCCATAAATGTAAAACTCCATTTACATCTCTAAATGCAGAGAGTTTCAGGCACTGAGCTAGAAAATTCCAGCACACTCTGGAAGAGGTGAAGTGAAGGCAGACAACCACATACTTGATTGTATTTGCATTGTTGTGTTCTGAGAGTTTCTGTCTCCAAACTGCTATGGTCTCATCGTTTATCAAGTTGGTATAATGTGCTTGGTTCACAGTCCTGAAATCAACAGCAGGAGAAGAATTCTGGAGGGATAACAAGAGAAAAGAGAAATGTTAGACGCGGAGCTTCTCTCCTCTCCTTCCCCAGCATGGTCGCCATATTGTATTTCATAAACCGAAGGCCCTCATGACTTCCCCGAGGTCTCCCTTGGAGCAGGGACATGTACTACACTTGATGGCAGGTAGCTATGGTGCAAAATCTCCACTCCCTTGCCTCAACTCCAGGGACCACACCAGATTGCACGAGACCTCTTATGGAAATGACCGAAACCCAATATTTCCCTCCGTCAAGCCCTGTGTCCTTCACCCTTGAGCAGGTGTTCTTTAGAGTCTGTCAAATTAATGCTCAGTGTTCTAGGTCTCCTTTCCCTTGCTCTGAGTCTCCACACCACAGAGGTATTGGTTACTTGCTGGAATTGTTCCCTCGACTCCAACAAAATGTGGCATTGAATGTTGAAGCCAGACATGACCGTACAAGCCTGCAATCCCAACACTTGGGAGGTGAGAGAGGAAGGAGAATCAATAGTTCAAGATCGTTCCCTGCTACACAGTGAGTTCTCAAGGCCAGCCTGGGCTACATAAAACTCTGTCAAGTAACTTTTTAAAGCAGAATTTAATGATAATCTATTAGTATGAGCAATTTCAGTGTCACATAATTTTTTCCCCTCAACTGTTTGTGTGCGCTGTGCAAGCCTTTCTGAGTGTGTTTTCACACGTGTGGGTGTAAGTGTGTGTACAAGGTGTGCACACATTTGCAAGTACAACCGTGTGTTAGCCAGAGGTTGACTTGGTCACTCTTCCTTGATCACTCTCCACCTTACTCATTGACACAAGGTCTCTCAAGAGAACCTAGAGCTCACCACGTGGCTAGTCTAGCTAGCTACCTTGCTCCAGGGAGCCTTTGACTCCACCTCCCAATGATGGGATTAATGCCACACCCACCTGGCTTTTACAAGGGTTCTGGGGATCTGAACTCTTGTCCGCACACTTGCAGGGCAAGCATTTTCACTACTGAACCATCTCCTCAGCCCCAGTGACTCTTAATTTCTGGCTCCAAGAATATACCTATAAACTTATGAAAGAAAGTATCAAAAAGGATGTTAATAGCTTTGGAAACCCCAAATACTGTCCACACCATATATCCCTTCTTTAGTGATAAATACTCTTTAATTTTTATATGTATAGGTGTTGTGTCTGCATGTCTATCTGTACACCACTTGCATGCCTACTGCCCACAGAGACCGGAAGAAACCAACAGATCCCCTGGAACTGGTGTGTTGAGAATAGTTGTGAACCACCATCTAGGTGCTGGGAATTGAACCTGGGTCCTCTGGAAAAGCAGCCAATGAAGGTTCTTAGCCACTGAGCCATCCAACCCCATCTCCAGTGATATTTTTAAAATTACAATGATCTATTAATTTGCATGCATGTGCATGAGGGTGCTCACGTATGCAATGGTACACGTGTGAGGGTGAGAGTCAGTTCCTTCCATCCACCACGATGTTCTCAAAGACAGAACTCGGGCTGCCTGCTTAGCGGCCACACCTTTACTCCCTGAGCTGTCTCATCAACCCATTTAGTGGTATTTTTAAAGAAGTCATTGTAAGTACTTTGGTTCTCTAAACCTGGCTGTTTGCAACTTTGTTTTTCTCCAACATCTATTTATAATCCATAACTAAGAAAAAGTTGACAGGGTTTTATGCCTGAGGAAAATAATATTCAAGCAGTCAAAGCCATCAATTCATAGAATGAGCATCCTTTTCTCCTTTGTATTTGCACATAAAATCTAGCTTTCAAAGGAAGCTTGTTGGTTCTACTCTACAGTTGTGAGTTACCAAACTCCCCTTTATCACACATCAGATCATCTGGTTCTTGATAGCTAGTCTAAAAAAAGGACAACAGGCATATATTAAAAGAAGAAATATAATATTGAATTATATCAAAGAAACTCTTAAATCAACATGTCATGGTTACAAAGCACTATCACTACTAAACCTGAATTGCTTCCCCAAAAGGACATATGCATGCCAACAGTAACATAAACTTACAGAAAGTATGTATACTTCAAACTATTTTTCTCATGCTTCATTATATATTTAATAACACACAGACACAAGAAAAAACATAATTTTCACCTTCATGGGTATGGGGACAAAACATGAAAATTATGCTTTTTGAGTCACCTGATGGTTGTTAAAAGCCTACCTGCTTGCTATTGGTGCATCTAACTAAATTAACCTGAAGTCTACATTGGCACCTGGCCTGGAATGTGTGTTAACCATTGGGATTTTTAAGGTTCCCTTGGTGGTCCAAAGCCCAGTGACATTTGAGAAGCACTGACCTAATGCAGTATTTTTCTTTTTAGCTTGTATATAACTTGCAAGTATGGAGGCCTGGGAGTGTAGCTCAGTGATTCAGTACTTGCCAACATGTAGTGGGTGTTGACATTCCCCAGGTGACGCTAATTGGATAACCAGAGGTGGGAATCACATGTCACTATTCAGTTACACACAGACACACTGAGGGAGGGAGAGAGAGAGAGAGACAGAGACAGAGACACAGGGAGAGACAGAGACACAGGGAGAGACAGAGACAGAGACATGGGGGAGGCAGCAACAGACAGAGAGACACAGAATATCACAGTCAACAGGCTCGAAGCAAACACACACCTAAGGATTCCAACCACATTCCCTCTTCAGCCCTATCCTGAGAACAAGGTAAAAGAAAAGCTAAGGCTGTGATTTACTCAGAACCGCTGACTAACACAGCATAGGTGGAACGGTGTGTTGGAGCTATGGTATGTCTCATGGTTCTGCAAACAATGACTTAAGATGTTATGTAACATGCCTTCGGTGTGTTTGAGTTCTAGTGAGTCTCATTTTCATGTACACAGTGTTTTAAGAGGTCATGTGGCTTGGCCTCCAAGACGCACTGGAGTTGCAGTAAGTTTCTTGTATAGACTTGTGTTTCACCACCAACATACCCTATTTATATGCAAATATTTCAAAATCCAAAAGAATCTGAAACATTGTTTTTCTGGCTGACACTTCACACATTAAAGTAACGATAGGTAACTATGTAAGCATATAATTTTCAATCTCTCTATCTAAACAGACATATATATATATGTATGTATATATATATATATGGATATATAAACATAGAGAGAGAGAGGATATGGCTTTACTTGAAAAGACAGGGATGCCATAGTTGCAAGGACAGACTCAGACAAAGAGGAGTAGTGGGCTGCAGGTATGCCCAGCTATCTTCTTGAAGTGGGCAGGAGGAACATTCCACTGTGAACTTGAAACTCACCTCTTACCAGTTGAAACTTTAGCGTACTGGTGACTAACACTATCATATAACTTACTTCCTTTTATCAGTGGGTTGTTTTCCGTATCCAACACTAATACGTTTGAAACGGCTACATAGATCACACTGTATATTTATTAAAGGAAGGAAATATAAGTTTTATGTTTAATTCTCAGAAAAAAAATAAAAGTCAGTTTCTTACATAAGTGAATTCCTACAAGTCTACCACTTGAAAACAAGCAAGTTAGTGAAGAGACCCTGTGTTTTTACCATTTGTTTTACGGGCCTAACTTCAACTTCCTCCAAGATTTCTCCGTGGAGTTATAAAGCTGAACCCAAAATAGGTCCAAGGCAGCAATTCTGCATCACCCCTAAGGTGGCTAAGGTACACGGTTTTCCGCAGGCTCCTGATCTGAAGCGTGCCTGACGGGTCGCAGCTTCCAGCTTGGCCAGGACCATTCGTATAGAATCAGAGAACAATAATAAGGGAACAGGATTTAAAGATGGCAGGATGTCAGAGCAATGGAGAGACTTTCCCAATTGAAAGGGTCTCTGTTTGCTTCCCAACCAAGTTTCCTGCCTTTCTAATTACTACCTTGAGTTTGTCCTCCTACAGGGCTTGTTAAATACAAGTAGAAGTGTGACAAAGAAAAAGGAAAAACCATAGCTCAACACTCTTGGTGACTGCCGCTGGCCATGAAGAATAGAATGAATTAGATAAATGTCACAGATTCTTGTACCAATACCAGACCTTGAACGCGGAAAGGCAAAATATGCTGTATCCTTTTCCTTTACCTTTCCCTTACTTCCCCTTCCTTTCCTTTCCCTTTTCCTTTTCCTTTGAGACAGGGTCTCATGTAGCTCAGGCTGGCCCAAACTGGCCATGTAGGCAAAGATAACCTTGAACTGTCAAGATGAGTACTAGGGTTACAGGTGTGTACTGTCATGCCCATGTACGCCACTGTTCTTGGGCTTATTTCGTATAGCGATGAAGGAGCAAGAGAAGGGAAATCTTGGTGTGGTATCACGAGCAGGTGATAAAGAATAAAAACCCTGAACTTTTTTGTATCTCTCTTATTATATACTCGGGTCACATCGAACAATGAAATCCATTAAGTAACCAAACATCTAGCATGCATTTGGTACTTAACAGCGAAGAAACAGAAAAAAAGTAGTAACATGAATGCTCTGAGCCTCCTTAAATTTCTTTTTAGAACAAATATGGATATAAATAATTAATTATCCACCATAAATTAGAACTCTACAGTATTAGGAACAGGATAATTATTACCAATTTGAAGGAGCTAAGTGGAGACAATGTCAAGGCTTAGTTTGTTTCTTCTAGCAAGGTAAAATCAGTAGAAACAAAGAGTCAACAAAGTGTTTGTGTAACTATTAAAATGAACACCAACTACCATCATTCTACTTTAAATGTGATAATCAGAAGAAAATTTTACCTCGTAGGTAGAGCAGAGCACAAACGTCTGGTCCCCTCCAGAAAAGATCTGTTTAACGACACGGTACTTAAAGCGGTCTGTCAAAAAAAATTTGTTTATCAATCAGTTTGATTTTCAGTGGTTGCTCTCTTCTGATATTCCAAAGTATGCTTCACAAGGGCTTATCTACTTTAACTGTGTGCAGAGAAGAGGCCTTCCTCCTGCTTCACTGCCCAGGACTGTTTTTCTAGCTCAGATACAAACAAATATATAAAGTACTGCCCATTCCTTCCCTGCCTGCTTCCCTCACAGACAGCTAACCCTGACCTTGTTTTTATTCCTCATGCTAATTCCGTCATGCTACTGGCCTGAATACTAAAACGGGCACTGCTATTAATGGTAACATATGCACAGCAATCACATGTCTGCATGTGGTCCTCTCTCCCCCCCTTCAGGATGATGCTAGAAACACAAAGACCTCTTTTCCTAGTCCCAGGTAGACACCCCATCAAGGGGATACTCTTAAGACCACCTAATTGCTTTTTTTATTTATTTAAAATGTAACTCCATTGCTGTCTTCCCCTAACCTGTTGCGTTCACCCCTCCCCTCTCCCTTTTGAAATCATGGCCTCTTTTTAATCGTCACTGTTATATGCATACACACAGACACCTAAATATACACAAACCTTCGAAGTTTGTTTACTGCTACTTGTATATGCATATATATATATATATATATATATATATATATATATATATATATTATGACTTCAGGGCTGATCTGATTGGTTACCCATGTAACTGTTTTGTTTCTTCTAATAATCCTAGTATCTCATGCTGTTCCATCTCTCCATACCTCTTCCCTCCTCTTCCATACAGTATCACACAGTATATCCTCCTTGAATGGTTTGCCTCCTTGGACGTGAATTTTACACTTCCGGCAACAGCTCTGTTCCCTCACAGTCCTCCCCTTCACAGACTCAAACCACCAGCTCTAACCTGCTCTAGCGGTAATACTTACTGCTCAGTGCCCTCCTCTGGTGACTCATACTACCACAAAGGGTTGTAGGTCCGTAGCATATGACATGAAAGTCTGAAATTTTCTTATTTCTACCATATTCAAACACATAGGCATAAATTTACAGCCACTTAAGTCAAGCCAGATTGTGATTCAATTTCAAAAGCTTGTGGTTTCAAGTTAAACTTGTGTTTCTTGATTCGATTACCGCTGTCTGGGAGGAGAAAGGGATTGAGACAAGGCTAACTACACGGCTCTGGCTGGCCTAGGACTTGTGGTCCTGAATGCTGAATGTCTGTATTGCAGGGGTGCACTACCAGATCCAGGAGCACAGCTGCTCAGCACACATATTCCAAGTATGAGGAATATACCTAGAGAAAGATATTTACAAGTAACAAAGAAGACACCAAGCTTTTTTTTTTCTGCTTTGGAGAATATTAATACAGACTGTCCTGTTTATTTTGTTTTAAGCTTACTAAATCTTACACATATCAGTCCTGTAAGTATTTATTAGATGACAGATTTGACAAGCTCTGTGCTATATGCTAGGTTTGCAAAGATTATTCATTGCCTGGCCTTAAGTTTCTTAGCATTCAGGAGGGAAGAGGATGAACTTGGGAGTCACTGGGCCCTTCAATTGTTCCTCTTCCCAATATGGCCAACTGAATGAATCCCTTTTCTCTGCTTTTCACACACACACACATACAATAGACATAAGGAAACTTATAACTTTTATTTTAAAATCCATTCAAAGCCCTAAATTTGTTAGTTTAAAATTCACAATTAGCTGGGTATTGGTAATACACGCCTTTAATCCCAGAACTCAGGAGGCAGAGGCAGGCGGATCTCTGTGAGTTTGAGGCCAGCCTGGTCTACAGAGTAAGTTCCAGGACAGCCTCCAAAACAATACAGAAAAACCCTGTCTTGAAAAAACACCAAAAAAAAAATCAAAATTAAATTTGATTATTAGATTGTATTTCTATTTAATAACCTGGCAGCTCCATTTCTAGCTCTGGAGATATTATGTCAGGTCAATATGAATAACTTGTCTTACTTTAGTCTCCAATGAAATCAACAGTCTGCTGGCCCAATCTCTTTAAGGGAGTCTTCAGAAAGAAGTCTCATCCGTTATCACCAGACACCAGAAGCAGCACCCAGAGTACAGGCTCTTTGGGTGAGGCAGATCTGGGTTCAAATCCTGCCTCTAGAATTTTTTTGGATCTTGGGCATCAGTCCTCTGCTTCTGAGGAGGGGGTGATGATCCATAGTCATGTGCTTGCTTGGTAGTGCTTAACGTGGTAATGGGATGCGTTAAACAATCAATTAAGACTTTAAAATTAATCTTCACTGATAACAACAATAAGATATTCACCCTCAAGCCCCGACAGCTGTTCTCTAGGTTTCTAATTACGGAGCTTCATGCAGAGCGAGTGCTCAAATGGTTTGATGATAAATACCGAAAACTACAAAGAAAAAAAAAAAAAAACTCATGCTTAACCCCTCCAAAACATTTCAAGATGAGTAACAAATACATATTAAAATAATGATTAATTGCAGTGAAAATCACTCTTACCAGCTCTAGCTGAAAGCTGACTGCTGTGGGCAGCCCAATAGCCCTTCACCGGAGATGGGCACTTAACATTACATGTGTGTCCGGTTCCTAGCTGACCTCGAGCTCCACAGCCAAAGGCATAGATGAGTCCAGAAGAAGGCACAAAGGCTAGGGTGTGCTGTCTGTAGGAAAAGAATCGACTCACTGGCATACTTTCCACTAGCAAGGATATACAATCGATCTGATTTTTAACTTCCATATGAGATCACAGCAATTCCTGTGAGTTCCTCGGGAGTCTCTACATGTTCTTATGTTTTCTTTTGTTTTGAACAACAGATTCCTAGCCTCTGACACCCAATCAGCCATGAACCTATGACTAAGACCCAGAATAGCTATGAAAGCAGTGTGACATTAAAGCATAAATTTGCTTAAAACATTGAGAAGTTTTGTATACTTTGATTTTATGATTCTGTGTGTGTGTGTGTGTGTGTGTGTGTGTGTGTGTGTGTGTGTGTTATGACTGCTAGTGTGTAAGTCTGTACATGTGTATGTACATACGGACATGCACATGTGTGACAGTGCGCAGGCCAGAAATAATTTTCTCCTTATTTTAAAGACAGTCTTATCACTGAGTCTTATTAAAAGACAGCCTTCTTACTGAACCTTTCTTAAGACGGTGTCTCTCAGTAAACTAGGCTGGCTTGCCAGGGAGCTTAGGGAATATGCCTGCCTCAGGCTGTCACGGTACTAGGGTTACAGATACACATTGCCAAATCTGGCTTTTCAATGTGATTGGTAGGGATCCAAATTTGTGTCCTTGTGATTGCAAGGCAGGCTAGTAACTAACGAAACCACAGATGGCCGCACGGTCTCGCTGTGACAAAGGTCACAAGTGTGCCTCCTGATCTTGGTGAGGAAGGCAACATGTGGACAGAGATGAACAACCTACCACACCCTCCCTTTAGGATGAAAGAAAAACAACTTAGGTACAGCAGGGAACGGCCACGTTCTTCCTTCACTCCTTCTGTACATGCTTACCCTCTATCCCGTGAGGTCCAGCGCTCTCCTGTTGGCCTGCCTACCAAAAACCCTCCCTTACTGTGCCTGCTACAGTCTGACTTTCCATACACAGGTCACCATGCAGTTGGGACTTCCTAAAACAAAGCTGTGAACTCTGGCACCTGCCAAGAATCCCTTCACTCAGGAGTAAGAGCAGGAGGAAGCCTCCGTTACATATTGACTAGTTGGAGAGTTTAAGAACAGCGTGAGGTCCAGAGACCAGTTCTATCTTATGAAAATAAAAAACACAAGCAGAAAAAGATTTCTTGACATGGCAGTGGTTCAGTGAGCCACAGGCTTCTACCCCCCCCCCACCCCCCCACCCCACCCCACCCCACCCCCGCTAGACCTACTTCTGGGTCTCCGAGGCGCTCACTCACCTGCCACAGGCAATCTGAGTTACTTCGCTGCCCATCAGCTCCAGAACTCTTCTGGGATTAACTTCATCATTCATGGAGCCGTGCCCAAGCTGTCCACAGGAACCAGCACCGAATGTAAACACGCCCCCACTCTAACAAGGAATAAGGGTCAGTCAGGTGAGCTGCAACCTGAGTTTGAGGGCTGTCCTCTAGAACCTGCACGTAAGTTCCATCTCACCAGCCTGCGTGAGGCACTGCGCTCACCCGGAACGTGGCTCCTTGAGAACATTTACAAAGCAGAAAAAGGATACGGGGATGTGAGAGCTCAGCTTCAGGGAACAAAGTCCTAAAGGACCAGATGCCATTTGAGGATTTTAAAGATTCTTTAAAAGCGGAGTGATACATGGCTAGAGAGTCACCTCGGCAGTTTAGGAACAGCTGCTCTTCCGGAGGACCTGAGTTCTGTTCACAGCACTCAATGCCCAAGCCTCTCCGTCAGAGGTAACTCTAGTTCCAGGTGATCCAGCAACCTGCTCTGGACTCCACAAGCACCGGGCATGCACATGTTGCACACACAGAAGCAAAACACTTGCACAAAGGAATTCTTAAGAGCAATAATGTGTTAGGAAGCAGACATTTTGAAAGCTAAACCAGGTGAAAGGAGATCAGGTTCACTCACATGTAAGAAACGGAGGCTTCATAAACTCTGCAATAAAGACTCTCTTAAATTTGCGCTTGAATAAATGCTAGGCAATATATGCTAGCAAGTTCTCAACACGAAAAGACATTTTCAAGCTAGGTATGGTGGCTCATTTAAATCCCAGTACTTAGGAAGTAGAGACAGGAAGTGCCCGAGTTCCAATCCATATTAATACATGTCGTACGACAGGATAAACAGCAACCTGATACACAAGACCTAGTCTCAAACCCACAAAAAAGGGAGGGAGGAAAGAAGGAAGGGAGGAAGGAAGGAAGGGAGGGAGGAAGGAAGGAAGGAAGGAAGGAAGGAAGGAAGGAAGGAAGGAAGGAAGAGCGGAAGGAAGAGCGGAAGGAAGGAAGGAAGGATTTTCATTCTAGCATGTAAATGTTTTTAGAATCAACAAATACCACCTAATAAATTTAAAATAGTAATTAAATTACTATTTTTATGTTAAAACGGATTACTTAAAAAGAACAAAGGATGGATGCTGTTTTTCATATATGTAAATATCATACTTTTAAGTTATTTATACTGAACGATTTTAAAAAGTCACCGAGAGACTCTATAAACTTCTCCAAGAGGAAAGCACAGGCATGTTTTTCAATAGCAGGATTCTCTCTGTTCCTCCCAAGGTGATCAAAAAAAAGCTAAAAAGAAAAGTCAGGACCAAGCACAAGAATTCATCACCACAGCTAGTCTGCAGTTGAAACTGACCATATCTGCCACGCCCCCAAGCCAAGTCCCCAAAGCCCCTCACCTTTGTGAGAACTGCTGTGTGCTCCTCTCCACAACTGATATAGACGACTTTCTGTGTTCTTAAAAGCTTCACATGGCACGGAGACTCTCGATCTGAAATAAATTAAGCATCTGTCTGTCACTACCATGGGATTTTAAATGAGATATACACAACTATCGGCAGGAATTTTATATCCTCTCCGTTTCCTGACTCAGGCACCAATTCAGCTCTCTGCCTCCAGCTCTACTTGAAAAGTCCAGCAAAATTTAACATATCAAAACCTCAACTCGTTATTTCCTGTTCTCTCCAACGCTGTCCACTCCAACTCCACACACATGGCCGGGCCCTTCCAGCCTTCCCTTTGTTTCCAGTGACATCATCAGGCACTACGGAAGCCTGACTAGTGCTTCTCCCTTCAAATGGATCCCTGCCCCCACCATAGCCACTCACACTAGACCACTGCTCTCCTCAAAACCCTTCATTTCTTCTCCCCTCACTTAGGAGGGGAGTCGAAGTCCTCCCCGTGCCCTTTGGGGTGCTTGGTAGCAGTGCCAGCGTAGCTTCCCTGATCTCCAACTCTGCTTCCCCCACCACTCTCATCATGTCCGTGTCTGGTCCCCTGCCTGGAACATTCCTCACCAAGTTATGTACATGTCCCATGCCCCACCTGGTCTCCCACTGAGCTCTGCTCAAAGACGCCCTTATGGGAGAGCTGCTTGCTCCCTGACCGGCTCGTGACCATCGGGGAGCTTGTTCTAAAGCCATGTGACACACCACATACTGGCAGGCTGTTATGAGCAGCCATGCACTAGAATGTGGTCTCCACTAAGCCACGGGTGTCGTCTGATTCACTTCTGCTCCCTCTGTACCTAGCTCCAGGCCAGCACACAGTAGGTCCGCAAGAAGCCCTTGTTAAAGACATGAACGTGTGTTTCAACTGAAGAACACATGCAGAGACTTTACATACCTTTTTCATCGCTGAGCCCTAGCTGCCCTGCATTGTTCATCCCCCAGCCAAACACCGCTCCCGAGAGAGACAGGGCAAAGCTGTGAGCCCCTCCTGCGGCCACCTGAGCCAGTGGGATCCCTTCCAAAGACCTCACTCTCTGCGGGCTGGTTTGGGAGGGGAACTCCTTCCCCAGGCCGAGCTGCCCATGGCTGTTCTTTCCCCAGGTGAAGAACTGGCCATCTGAAACAACAACAGGACAGCTGATGCTATAACCAAATCATTCACGCTCCACACACCAAGATAATCTAGCTGTTACACTATTCATTAGTTGCCCTATACGCACCAAACCCACGCAAGAGAAAAGGAAGAGATGCCTCATGTTTTCAGCTTTCCAAATCCCAGCTCAGCATTAGACAACAGAAAAGTAAACTCAAGCCTTAGCGCCCCTTCAAAGGCGATCAACACTAATCTAAAGAAAAACACTGAAGGGTTTGGTAAATTCGGTTCTGACCAGGCTGGTTACCAGGGGTACGTCTAAGCGAGATGAGCTTAGCACTGACCACACTGCCAGCAGAAGCCGCAGCTGTGACCCAGGACTGTTCTGGGACAGGGGCCTGAGCAGAACATGCAGCATGAAAAGTGAAGCCTTGCACCAGGATTTATCTGGAATCCTGACAGGAGAATGGAGCTTGAGAATGGATTGTAGCTTTTTAAAAACCAACTCCACAAATAACTTCTATATTCTCAAAAACACCTGGGCACTATCATGGCCCTGGTTTCTCTTCTCTGTAGGAGCTGAGACAGCAACAATGCATCCTACATCATCATCCACGTCTCCAAGAAAGATGAGTTACACGAAGGCTGTTTGACAAATGTCACTGTTCAGTTAAAGCTTTCAGTGAGATAACACAGGACTGCAGGAGAGAAGTGGGTTTTGAATTAACATAACATTAGCATATATGTATATAAATTACCAGCTGCCAGAGCCAAGCAGTGCCAGTTGCCACAGGAAACTTGTAATATGGTCTGCTGGTTCAGCTTCTGTATTAACCTAAAACAGAAAACGGTTCTCTTAAATGTGCATTCACACAGAAACACAATTACCAGAAACGTTCTCAACTAAACACGTTCACTGAAAATACCATCTTGTCTAAAGACCTTTCCAAAATTAAGCATGTAATCTTGTCTAACTAAGCATGTAATCTTGTCTAATAAAATTCTATTATGCCTCTCACTAGGTTCATTCTTAGGGATTTACTGTTTAAAATAAACAAATTCTCCCATACTTGGACCCATTTCTAAAATCCAACTATGTATCATCCATACTTTCGAAAGTGATTATTGTGGCACACAAAATCTTTAGGATCTCCAAAGCATTTACTGTCCCCATAAATGCTAATGAGCAGACTGTGCCTGACAGTGCCCAGGAACCTACATTTGGGAAGTACAGGTAAGGAGACCACAAATACAAGGTTAGACTCTCCTACATAGTGAGTTCAAGGTCAACCTAGGTTAAATGAGACCCTGTCTCAAAATTAAAAAAAAAAAAAAAAGAAAAGAAAGGAAGGAAGAAAGAAAAAAGGAAGAGAAAACAATAATTAAAAAACTTCCCGATCATCAGTTGAGGTAAATACATAATGAGAGATAAAAGGGCCACCCTTTTTAGTCAATACATTTGTCAGTTGCCAGGAACTCAGTAGCAAGTCCCAGAACAAATTCAGTTCTGGACCAACTCGTGTGTTTCTAATTCAAGGCAGACATTTCTAAAAAGAATTGTATTTTTATTTTGTGAGTGCATCACAAATGTTGTTAGCAGGTATATCAATAGCATAAAAGAAATAGTAACAACACAAAGAAAACAGTATAAAACCAGGAACCCTTGGGGTTACATTCCCACCTGGGCACTGTCACGGAATCCTCAGTAGTCATGAGTCCCAGCTGGCCATCACTTCCTGCACCCCAAGAAAAGAGCTGGCCCCGGTCACTCAGAGCCAGACTGTGTGATTCTCCACATGCCACATGTATGATATGCTGATCAGCCAATGCTCCAATTTGTTCTGAAAGAGGTCAAGACAAAGGAAGAAAATATACTCAGCCTGAAAACAGAAATGCTGCTCCCCTTCATCAGCCACCTTCCACTATGTGACCAACACCTGTCAATAGCGGAAGAGCAATTGTTTGACTCACAATTAAGTGAGCATGATGCACCAGGGCAAAAGGAGCAACAGTTGTGACTCCTCACACTTGGACACCTGGGAAGAGAGCCTGGAATGCTGGCGTTCTGCTGGCCTTCTCCCTTACCCCTTGTTCTTGAGTCCAGGACCCCAGCCTTCAGGATAGTATCACCTACACATAGGGCAGGTCTTCCATCCTCAGCTAAACCTCAGAAACACCCCCCAAATAATCCCACATGTCTGTCTCCTAGGTGATCCTAGACCCAGGTGTTGACAATGAGGATGAGCCAAAGCAATCATCACCCAAAGCAACTTTATTTTATAAAGAGAACCATGAAAACTGTAGGTTTACAGAAATACTAAACTTTGGGGACTCATTAGTATATGACTGGCATTTTCATACAATATATAAGATTTCTGATTGTATTCATTCTCATTATGTGTACTTATCCCTTTCCCTACATCCCCTTCTTATTCCCTAGAGTCCTTCAATTTTCAGGTGTTTGTTTTGGTTTTCTTTTGACTGACATTCCACATATGAGAGAAAACATATGCTACTTGTCTCTCTGTGTTTGACATATTTCACTTAACATGAGACTCTCTGGTTCCATTTTCTTCTACATGACTAATCCATCAGATAGACAGACAGACAAACAGATATGGACATAGATATGGACGTAGATATAGACATAGACAGAGCAGGACCCATCATATATATACATGTATGGACTCATCATATATACATACACATGTGTGGACCAATCATATATACATACATGTATAGCCTCATCATATATATATATATGACCAAAACCAGCAACAATGAAAGTTCTATAGCATCTGACATCAAATTATGCTGCTCAGTTCTAATTACAGAACCAGTGACACAGAAAACAGACCCGCATAGCGATGCAGAATAGAAGACCCAGAAATAAATCACACTACTGCCATTTGCGTTTTTCAATACAAGCGCTGAAAACATCGTGGAGAACAGGGTTTCTTTAACAACTGGTAGAAGACTGAAACTATATCCCTACCTTACAGTCTATATTTAAAAACAAAACAAAACAAAAAAAACGGCTTAATCTGGATGCAGTGGCATAGTCCTGTAGTCTCGGCCCTCAGATGGAGGCAGACAAACCCGGATTCACAACATTTCAGCCGTATAGTGAGTTCAAGGGCCAGCCTGGCTACATGTGACCTTGACTCAAAAAGAAAAAATTAACTAAAAACCGGTTCAAAGATCTTCATGCAAGACCTACAATGGAGACACTACTACAGATAAATGTGGGAGAGAGATGTTTTATCTTGTAAGTATGCTCTGTGACTTTCACATTAGGACTGAAGTTCTACAGGGCACAATAAGAACCGACAGGTAGGGTTGAATCTAACCATGAGGCTTCTGTACAACAGAGCAAACCATTAATAGCAAAGGCACACCCACAGAACACGGGAAATCCGTTACCATGTGTCCATCACTAAAATGCATAACAAATTATAAAAACTAAATGCCAGAAGAATAAATAATGCAGCTAATGGATGAATGAATAAATGATGCAGTTAATAGATGGCTGAATGAACTAACAATCGTTTCTCAAAGAAGTGGTTTAAGTGTCCAATGAATAAATGAAACAGTTTCATCTTTAGCCATCAGGAAATTGCAAATCACTTCTACATTGAGTCCATGGCTAGCATTAAGAAAACAATGTGCCAGAGAGCTGGGCAAGGACATTTAGATACTGTTGGTGGAAATGCAAGTTATTAGAGCAACTGAGAAGGCGTCTCAAAAAAAACTATAGCTAGAATGTCCACACAATCTAGCTGTACCACTTAATGTGTACATCTGAAAGAGTCAAGAACAGCATGTAATAGAGGTAACCTGCATGCCTATATTAAACCAAGTCAATATTAACTATTCACAATAGCCAGGTCATGGAACCATCTTGATACCCATCAGTCGATGAACAGCTGTGAAAATGTGTGTTTGTCATATATATACATACAGACATATCTCACACACACACCAGAAAGACTGTAAGAGCCAGGGAATCAGGAACTTTGCTGTGACTTTGTATCCCCTAGTATTATCAGAAGACACATTGATAATGTCTAATCAAAATGACTGTCCAAACATAAGCTGAACAATGAAGACACCATCAAACATGCCAAACTGGATAGACAAAAGCCTACAAGGACTAAACCATCATTAAAAACTATTAGCAACTAAGTAAATCTGGGAGCAGGAGAGGTGGTTTTCCCCAGGGAAGAACACACCAATTGGTCACCTAGTGTCAACGGTCAAGCCTGAAAACATAGCTACAAGTAACATTATATAGACTCAATACATAACATATATATATGTATATATAAAATCTTCCATGATGTTTTTTCATTAATTTTTTTATTTAAACTAAAAACAATCTTATTTTACATACCAACCCCAGTTCCCTCATCTTCCCGTCTTTCCTCCACTCCCCCTACCATCTCCTCATCCCACCCCCCATCCACTCCTTAGAGGGGATGAGGTCTCCCATGGGAGATCATCAAAGTTTGTCACATCATTTGGGGGGAGAGAGAGAGAGACATATGTATGCAATAACTATTGATTTAAAAAGAGGTCATGAATTTGAAGGAAAGCAGGCAGGAATATATGGGAGGGTTTGGAGGGAGAAATATAATTAAAATATAATCTCAAAAATAACAAAAAAGTCCTCTATATCTCTGGTTGGCAGGGGTGGGGGGCAGTAGGGGGCTGTTGTAAATGGGATTACTTTCCTAGTTCTGTCTTATTTGTTATTTGTGTAGAAAAAAAAAAGATACTTAACTTCCTAAGTTGATTTTCTGAAACTCTTCTGTAAGTGTTGATCAAAAGGATTCTGATGGGATCATTAGATCTTTGGGGTACAGGATCATAACACCAGCAAATATGTACTGCTTGATTTCTTACCTGTCTGTGTTTGACCTTTCTCTTGCTTTGGTGCTCTGGTTAAGATTTCAAGCACTGCAAAGAAGGGCGACAGACCTTTGCCTTGTTAACGATTTCTGAAAAACCATTCAGCTTCCTTACAATTCCTCTATTCCTTTATTCCTACTCTCCTTAGCGCTCCTGAAAAGATGTTGAATGCTCCTCTAAGGAGTCTTCTCTGACTACTGAAACGATCATGCAGTGTTTGTACTTGACATATTTATGTACTCCACTTCAATTGCTATGTTTGTGTGCTCCTGAATTCAGTTTGCAGGTAGTTTACTGAGGGCTTCTGCATTTATGCTGCTCAGGGAAATTGGTCTGTAGTTTCCTTTTCTGTTGTTGTCACCTTAACCAGTTTGGATACTAAAATAATACTGGCTTCATGGGTAAGTTCGGAAGTTTTCATTTCCTCTGGATTTTGTGGAATTTTTTTAAAGAACAGCTGTGATTCTCTTTCATCCAGTAGCTGATGGAAGCAGAAGCAGAGATCCACAGCTAAGCACTGAGCAGAACTCCTGGAATCCAGTTTTAGAGAGGGAGGAGTGATGAGCAAAGGGGTCAAGACCATGCTGGGGAAACCCACAGAAGCAGCTGACCTGAACAAGGCGGAGCTCATGGACCCCAGACTGACAGCTGGGAAACCAGCATAGGACCAACCAGGCACCCTGGTAGTGGGTGTCAGTTGGGAGGCCTGCACAGTCTATGGGTCCTCTGGCAGTGGAACCAGTATTTATCCCTAGTGTGTGAACAGGCTTTTGGAGCCCATTCCCTATGGACGGATACTCTGTCAGGCTAGATACAGTGAGGAAGGCCTTGGTCCTGCCCCAAATGATGTAACAAACTTTGATGATCCCCCAGGGGAGGTCTCACCCTAAAGAGTGGATGGGAGCTGGGATGGGGAGATTGGGGAGGGGGAGGGGAAAGATAGGAGAGAGAGGGAACTGTTTTGTAAAATAAGAGTGGCTTTAATTCAAATTAAAAAATTAATTTAAAAACATGAAAGGGAAACATCTGCAAAAACAAAAATATGGCTTTTAAAAGAAAAAAAAAGAACAACTGTGTTCCTATGTCTGGAAGAAACCAACAGTGAATCAAGCTGGACCAGGCTTTTCATTGTTGATGATTTCTTACTTGCGTACTATTGTGTTTTGGTTTTGTTTTTCTATTATACTTTTGGTTTAATTTTGGTAGGCCCTATGTATCTTGAAATGTCTGATCTTCTCATTTATTGAAATATAAGTTTTCAAAATGTTCCCTAATGATCTTCTGGGTTTCAGCGGTATCTTGGTCACCGTTTTCATTTCTAAGCCTATCGTGTCTTCATGCATCTTTTGCTTAGTATGGCTATGGGTTTGATAATCTGTTGTATTCTTTCAAAGGACTCACTCTGTTACACTGATTCTTTGCATTGATTTTTCGCTTTCTGTCTCACTCGTCACAAGTCTTCCCCCAAAGGTTATTATCTGAGTCGCTGCTGACTGCTTCAGACCTTTATAGCTGTAAACACCTCTAGGCCTATTTTCACCATATTCCACAAGTTTGCTTATGCTGTTTTCATTTTATTTGATTCCAGGATGGTTTTTTTTTTTAACTTTTTTCAGTCTCTTCAATAACTGATCATTCAAATGCTTCATTTAATCTCCATGTTCATATTTTTACAGTTTCTATTATTGATTTCTAATTCTATTTCATTATGACATAAAAATATAAGATGTTTTAATTTTCCATTTGTTCATATTTGTTTTGCGTCTAAAATATAACCTATTTTGGAGAACATTCCTAATTGCTAAGAAGAATGCATATTCTGAAGATGCAATTTAAGCCCACTTAATCCACAGTGTTGTGCTGTTTAACCCCGAAATGTTTGATGATTCAGGGGTATAGTTTTGGTACCCAGCTTTGGAGGCTGTCCTGG